GACTTAGCTTTGTAATATTCCCCTTGATGATGGCAGAGGTGGCCAATGTGGGAACAAAGTCGTCCGTCAATAACAATGAAGACACCAGTCGGGGGCGAAAGAAGGCGGTCGACGGTGAAAGCGAAGATGCCCACCAACGGCGGCATAATAGGCCAACCGTGTAGGCAGAGACACCAGTCGGGGCGGCAAAGGCAAGCCGGTCGGTGAAGACGTGGATGCCCATGAACGGTGGTGTGACTAATCAACCGTATAGGCAAGGACACCAGTCGGCGGCGACGGAGGCAGGCCGGTCGGTGAAGTTGTAGACGCCCAACAACGGCGGCATAATATGCCAGCCGTGTAGGCGGAGACACCAGTCAGTGGCACAACGGCGGCATAATAGGCTAGCCATGTAAGTGGAAACACCAGTCGGTGGCGACGAAGGTAGGTCGGTTGATAAAGTCGTGGACGCTCAATAATGGCGGCATAATAGGGCAGCCATGTAGGCGGAGACACCAATCGGCGGCGGCGAAGGTAAGCCGGTTGGTGAAGATGTGGATGCCCAACAACAGCGGTATAATAGGCCAGCCGTGTAGGCGGAGACACCAATCGGCGGCGGCGAAGGCAAGCTGTGGATGAAGATGTAGACGATAGCACCAGTCGGCTGCGGCGAGGGCGAGCAGGTCGGTGAAGACATAGATGCCCAACAACAGTAGTGTGACCAACTAACCGTATAGGCGAGGACACCAGTCGACGGCGGTAAGGCAAGCCGGTTGGTGAAGATGATGTCGCCACCAGCAACGGCGGCGGAGAACACCAACCATGGAGGCGAAGAGACCAGTCGGCAGCGACGAAGGCGGCCGGCGGTACGGAATCTTGATAACCTGATACGAGGCTGTGTGGCTTGATGCAATTTTTGGCCCATCTTAATTAGGTCTTAGCCGAGTAGGATAACCAGACAATGTCGTAGCCAAGCAAGAGTCAGGTTAGCTTGTTCTCGATCGGATTTGGCTGTTAATAAAACAATTTTGCCGATGGAACACAATAGCTCGATAGTCTGGGACTTCGATTTGTGCTTGACAAAGATCTGTATACATAAGCATATATACGGCCATGCAATCTGAGGACTCCATCCAATTGGTTGGCAAGATTGCCATGCGTGCATGCATGTATATGTAGATGGAAGAATACACTTGCATGATTGGTTGGCCTGGTATCCATATATGCTTTAATGCGTATGGGCTGGATGGATATACTAGTTGGTGTCCATTATCAAGGGTAGCTCATGATAGCCGATTGACGATGTATATGTATAGCAATTCTTCTCGGATGTAGTTGCAAAACCATTTTGTATATTTGTATCCAATAAAACATGTGTGCTTGACTGCTTGATTCCGCTTTTCTCTGCCAAGGAGCGATCGATCTATGCCCATATGCTTGTACGTCTCGTCGTCTTACGTAGCTCTGGATACCTCTGGCTTTGAATTGACGTGAACGAGCGGAGTCAGGCTGATGGGAAACTCGCCGAAGGCTTGTCATGATGAGGAACGAATTCAGACGACTGATTTTCGACGGCTGCAATGCTATCCATGCTTCCGTACAGAAAAACTTGGCTTGGAAAAAGATGAGTCGACGATGCTGGTGGCAGCCATAGTAGATTGAATCTAAAACTCGCTGTGGTAGTCTGGTAGAGTGGTTGTTATCCTCTGATTGGATCTTCTTCGACTGGTTTGAAATCAAGTCAGAGAAAAAGAGCTTGTTGAAATTGTCGGCGGCAAGGAAGTCAAAGCTGGTGAACCGAAGGCGAAAACCGGCGACTCATGAAGTTGATTCCATCGCACTTGTCAATAGAAACTCGACGCGCCCCTACCTGGCGCGTCAACTATCGAAACATGAATTCGGCAATAGTAAAAGGGGGTAGCGCACAAGACCTAAAAGTGGATAGACAGGTTCAGGCCCTCTCAATGAGAGGTAATACCCTACTACTGTTTGGGGATTTGAATCCGCCGGGTGTGTATTGATCTAACGATCTAGTTGTGCTCATGCCCCCTAGAGAGCCTCCTGCCCACCTTATATAGGATGGGGGGCAGGATTAGAAGATAGAAACCTTAACCAATACGGTATCGGTTTCCTAAATCTATTTTACAATATTATCAAATCAGGACTTTAGACCGCTCCATAATATAAAAGGAAACGTAATACCCAAGTCATGATCTGTTACATATTTCATAGATATAAGTTATTCCCTATAACCAGTCGGATAACCATGTCGTGTGGGTAGGTGGTACCCTCAATGCCTCCTCTGGTCCTCCCTCGTTGATGCCCCGACGTCTTGCGTGAACGCCCCTGCGTCGATCAGCTCCAATCCGCTAGTTATCCTCATGGCAGAATCGCCCTGCTCACCAATGGGGTAGGGACAACTGGCGAGGAGATGAAGGGAGAGGAGAAGATGCTCCTGTTGATGCTCAGGTGTGGCTTCGTTTCCTTGTTCTTCTTCATCACAAGTTGTCAACTTCCCCCAAATCCTTTTCGGATGAAGGCGATATTTTTCTCTTTTTCTGTCCACAGAAGATGTTCTTGATTTCTAACAACAGTTCAGTGCAACAATTTGCACCGCTGAATCATCTGCAATCTTCAGAGAAAGATGCAATTCTGCTGCTTCACCAGCTCATTCAATTCAGAACCAGAACAAGAAAAAGATCACTGGGTAGATCACTGGGTGTTCAATGGTGAACTGAAACTGAACCGAATTGTCCATAACACCTGTATGCAGCAGCAGACCGCATTCTGCTACATTCATACAACCCAAAGATCCTGATGAAACATTTCTTCATTGTAGTATTGATCTGAATATCTTGAGTAATGTCACTTCAACTCAACAGCACGAAAAGCTTGTGCAATTTTGACAATACTCTTGTAAAGTTAACAATATGGTTTCTTGTGAACTGTGACTTCTTGTAAAGTTAACAAGGGTAAAATTATGGTGCAATAAAGGATGCCGATTTTTTCTGGATATCTTGTGAATTTTGAATAAGAATGAACAATTCTGTGTCTTTGCATTTGTGCAATGAGGTTGACCATTAGGAGCAAAGCCAGAACAGGGTGCAATTAGCATTCAAACAGAGAGAGGAGGGAATTCCAAAAGAAAAAAAAATAGAGGTGAATTTGTTTTCTTGGCTACTAAATGTTGAATCTATATAGGATGAATTTGGCTACCATCCCTCCGCCGCCGCATGCCTCGCCCCGCCGCAACCTCATGCTGACCCGCCGCCGGTGACGCCATGGGCTGCTTGCACGGCCGCCCCTCCACCGCAGCCCCGCCGCGAAGGCTTCCCGTCGCCGCCTCCTACTGTTGCTGTTGCGGAGATGTACAAGCAGGGAGCGGATGCTTCTACGGAGGCGGAGGCTAACGAGAAGGGTGAGCAGCCGGCCGTCGCCGCCGCAGGTCCGCTGGTGAAGAGGGAGAGGCGTGGTCGTCGAGGTCGGCTGCCGCACGTGCACACGCATACCAAGGTGCGCCATCGGGGGGAGCTTCGCATACAAGACGCGCGGTGAGCAGGTCGCCGCTGGGTGGCCCGCATGGCTCTCTGCCATCTCCAGCGACGCCATCGACGGCTGGACTCCTCGCCGCGCAGCCACTGGTGCTCTGCTCCATGGTCACCTGCCCCACCGGCGCGGTCTGGATGAACGCAGCAGCAGGGGAGACCGTAGAAATAACTCAGCAACGGGAGGGCAAACTCGTCAATTCACTAGTTCCTTAATTTTGTCGAAGCTGTCGGAAACGACATATATAAAAAAGAAGGGTGAGGTATCAGAAAAAGAGATGGTACCAGAAAATAGCACAGAAAAAGAGATGGTACCAGAAAATAGCACATAATTTTTTCCCTTTTAACCATAAGTATATGTCTTTAGTTTTTCTTTGATTTGTAGCATCCCATTACATTTGAGGGGCTAAGTTCTCAATTTAAAAATGTTGCATATATCTGGTTGGATGTAGATATTTGCCATTTATTGGGATGGAAAAAAGACTAATTTATCCTTCTTCTACTCATCTTTCCCCTTTTCTTCCTCCCGTCGATCTTGCCAGTGCGTCAGTGGGCAGCCATGGTGCGGCAATGCAGCGTAGCAGCCAGCATGCAATGCAGTTGTGTGCAGTGCTGCTGCCGGGACTAAGGCTGACGCTGCGGCCAGCGCATGCGGCGCAACGATGGCGAGGTGCACAGCGCAACGGTGGCGAGGCACGTGGTGGCTGACATGGCTTATGGCGCAACATTTGATGTGGTTACTCGCCGTGGTGGTCGCACAGCTTCCCGGTAGCTTGCGTCGTACAACCTCATTGGCTGCACCTCGTCCTCATCCGCCGCAATCGCTGTCGGTCACCCCGCCACCGTCGCCACGGTCTCCGCTTCTTCGCTCGCTGAGCTAAATAGATCAGAATTCCAAATTCATGTTTGGTTACAATAAAGGATAAATTTGTCTTTTCACATCTCTAATCATGGCTAACCAATCGATTCAGATAGAAAATGTGACGGAAGTGCTACAAATTGAAGCAAAACTTGTGACATGTGCTTCTGGTTGAAAGGGGAATTTTCTTTTACCGGTGTTTTTTCTACATCGAATTTTCTCTTTATTTTTTTCACTGGTAAATAGAGTAGTATAATGGTCCTGCCACATTCCTTGTTGAGTAAATCTTAAAGATCGCTTTTCATCCAATTAAAAAAAAGAGGAAAGTGCGAGACCAGCTAGCACTTACAGAATCACAAGTACATATATAGGACAAGTACGTGCTTAATTCGTACTACTCCCGGTTGAATGAAATTTGATTCTCATAAAAAACAACGTAATACAGTATATGATAGATTCTAGTAGTATAAATTTGGACAGATTGTGATTAGATTTATAGTCCTACAAGATCTTTTCATATTTGTAGTAATAGGATATGCCAAATCTAATGCAGATTCGTTTTCTTTTTAAGAGACGGAGTACATGTAGGACAATGAAGTCTGATAGAAAGCAGTTCCAGGCGTCACTACTCGTCTGTACGAAATCTGACGACGCAGGGTCCAGACTCCACCAGTCCACCCTGTAATTCATGGCGAAGGACGAGGAAGGTGAGCACAGGACGAACAGCAACAGCAAGCTCGAAACTAATCCGGTGATAAATGCATGCGCCCCAACTTCCAACTCACAGTTCCTCCTCGTCATTCAAAGGAAAGTGGCAGGCAGGCTAGCTGCTCGGTTGACACACGAGCACACACAAGACAAATGCCGCCACGCCGGCCGGCGGCGCAGTGCGTCCGATATATGGCGGCGTTCTGGTTCATCATCCTCCTCGTCACTTTCTTCTCCGGCTTCGCTGCCGCCACCACCGGCGTGACCACGTCCACCTCGAACCAGAAGCCGACGTATATCACCAGCCTTCCGGGACTCGACGGCGCGCTGCCTTCCCTTCTCGAGACCGGGTACGTGCGTCCGTCCATGCCGATGACGATGGACGACTGTAGGTCTGTAGCTACGTGCATCCATTGAAAATTACATTTTCCCGCTGCTCTAGTTGGTGTGCAAGTCGTGGTGCTCGTGTCAAAATCTTGTCAGGTACGTGACCGTCGACGAGGAGAACGGGGCAGAGCTGTTCTACTACTTCGTGGAGTCGGAGGGCGACCCCGGCCGTGACCCCGTCCTCCTCTGGCTCACCGGCGGCCACCGCTGCAGCGTGCTCAGTGGATTGGTCTTCGAGATCGGTGAGCCATCCATACATATACCGATTAATCAATCCGCGTGCACTCTCCGTGCTACTACTGCTGATATGACAACGGTGGCCAGGCCCGGTGGAGCTCGTCAGGGAGCCGTATGACGGCATCAGCCTGCCGCGGCTGCGGTGGAACCCAAACTCGTGGACCAAGGTGGCTAGCATCCTCTTCGTGGACTCACCGGTCGGCGCAGGCTTCTCATTCTCCCGTGACCCCAACGGCTACGACGTCGGCGACGTCTCTGCTTCGCTGCAGCTCATCGAATTTCTCTACAAGGTACTAGCATAAACAGTCTGACATGCACCTACGTGCATGCACGGTGAATGTGTTGCCGTTGGTGGTTTCGTTGTTTCTGCTCGATTCATGCATGATCTCTCGGTCGTTTGACATAGTGGTTCAGCGCGCATGAGGATTACCTTGCAAACCCATTCTACCTCGGAGGAGGTTCATACGCCGCGAAGCTCGTACCATTCATCACCCAGAAGATCTCAGAAGGTACGTATATATGTAACTTCGCTTTCATTTTCTTTCTTTGGGAGTTTTTAGGCTCTTTTGCAGCGATCAGGTTTTCCAAATAAATGCTGTAAATTGTTTACTTACTTATGATTATCTATTAAAATTTCACTGGCTACTCTGCTTTCAGGTATTGAAGCTGGAGTGAGGCCGATTATTAACCTCAAGGTACTCTTCTAGTTACCTATAAGTTTTGCAATAACAGGCGAGGCCAATTATTGATCAGCAACACAGTTAGCAAACTCACATTATCCAACTTACAACCAACTATAGTATGAAGCTTATAATCTAGTAAAATAGTTACAATTGAGTATGGACCAATTTGTATTTCTGGGTGATGAACAGGGCTATACGGTCGGTAATCCCCTTACAGGTGATAGCATTGACTTTGATTCGCGAGTGCCATACTGCCATGGAGTTGGAGTAATTTCAGATCAGTTGTATAAGGTAAGAACCTTACTCTTTTAACTCAATAATCAACCACCATATATTATAGCCTAGTCCTCCCATGAATCGCTAGGATTTGCCCATTCATGTGTCACGGAGATGTGGGTGATTGAGAGTTAATTACTGACACATGCAACTTCAAACCCTAATGAATTAATTTGCTCCATCTGTGCATGCTACACTTGAGACTTCCTCCAGTAAGATTAAGTGATCTTTGTTTCTCACATGCATGTGGTCGACTCAAGACGATAATGGATAACTGCCATGGAAAGGGTTACAGTAACCCCAGGACTTTTATTTGTGCAAAAGCTATGTCCAAGTTCAACGAAGTAAGGAACATTACAATTTACAAATACCTAACCGATTTTGCAATACCCTATGTCGACTTGTTTCGCCAGTGGTTCAAGTCATCTTTTTAATTACTGTTGGATTGCTCTAAGATTCATGCTGTCAGTTTCTCACTGAGGACTACTACCGTGTGTTTCGCTAATATATGATGTTAGTTTCTAAATGTTTGTTGACCATTCATTTTAAACTTACTCTGTTATTGCAGCCACACAAAGTGGCGGCAAGAAAGAAAAGGGCAAGAAAGACTGATCATCCTGGCCTGTCTCCCTCTTCGTAGAAAAAAAATTAGGTATCATGTTTGTTTTATCAATTAAGGTACTACAAACATTACTTTTAGTTTTGCATATTTATATTAAAATTTAAAAAAAATATGTACACTGGATAAGGAGACCTTAGACATAAGGTCTCCTGTAATAGGCCCAAACACTTATCTTTAACGGGTTTGGGCTTGGTCAGTGATCAGTTGTCACTGGTGAGTCCAGTCACCTTTGATGGGTGACCGGCCCATCGGCCCATCAGAGGCACACTCACCTCTGACGGGTCCGTATTTTCCGGCCCGTCAAAGGTGAGGATCTCCACAAGCCAATGTGTAGTTGCAACCCGTCACAGGTAGACACCTTTGACGGGTGCATATTTTCCAACCCGTCATACCTGAGACTCACCTCCTACGAGTTCAAGATATGAACCCATCACAGGAATAGAAAGTCATCTTAAAAAAATGGTGCCCAGTTGCAACCATAGAAAATTGGTAATAGAAGCCGAAGAACTAATAATTAACCCCAAACATTTCAAACTAATTCCTTTCAAAAGATGGCAAGAAGCCGAAGAACTTACAAGGTTTACAATAGGAACCGAAAAACAAACTACAAAACTAAAAACTACTGGGAAACTACAAGGTTTGAGACACTGCATTTCAGGGAAAATGTTAAGATTCTAATTTTCTAGCTACATCACAATAAAAACATCTCTAGTATCTTCAAGAAAAACAAGACAAAAGTTCAAAGGTCTTCTTCTAGAATCAATTAATCTCCATTGGCAACACATCATGGGGCTTCAACAAGACCACACCCGATTCAGAAACTTGTAATCGATGACTTGCAACATCTGAAACAAAATCGTAAGCACATAAACACATTGATCAGTACTTGGGAGTGGATTAATCCGGAGGAGGAAGCTACGGCGGTGGCCGCAAGAGGATGGAGGAGGAGGGCGCTTGGGGACGGAAGAGAAGGCTGTCCGGCGCGGACACGGTCGCCTCCTAGAGGTCGGGGTTGACCGGATCCGGCGTCCCCTGACCTCTAGGAGGCTGGATCCAGTGTCCCCCAACCTCAACGGCGGTGGTGGCGATCGGTGCTCGAAACGGTGAGGACGACGGCCGGTGCTCGCGTGTGGAGTCGGAGGCCGCCACCGAATCCGGTCAACCATGACCTCTAGGAGGCGACCGCGTCCGCACGCCGTCGAGCCCTCCTCACTGCCGCCACGCACCAGATCGAGAAATAAGAGAAGGGGGAGGAGGATGGGGGTACCGCCGCCACCGCTGGCCGCCTAGCGCCGCCGCACCACCTCGCCGCTTCGCCTTCGCACCAGCGCCGCCGCCACGCGCCGCTGAGCCGCCGCCCACCGCCACCGCCGCCTCTCCCGAGGGCCGTCGAGTCCTCCGCCGCCCGGTCCCCTTTTCTTCTGTGGATAAGGGAGAGAGAGAAAGGCCCCCTTTTGTTTCTATGGATAAGAGGAGAGAGAGAGTGAGGGAGAGAGAGAGGATACTCTAGTCAAGCCTAGTCAATCCCCCCACCCACACCTGTGACGGCTGTATTGACGGGTCCGTTTGAGCTGAGTTAGCCTCACCTTTGACGGTTTATAAGGATGCAACCCGTCACAGGTAACTAGTCACCTGTAACAGGCCGGAAGTGGAAACCGCCAGAGGTGACTAATTACTTCTGACAGCTTTCACTTCCGGCCCGTCAGAGGTGACTAATTACTTATGACGGGTTGTAGAAGGATGCCTTACCGATGACGGCGTCCTGTAGGATCCGTCAAAGGTGACCCTCATCACTAACCGGTACTAAATCCCGTCACAGATATACCGTCAAAGACGTGAGGATCTAGTGTAGTGACAAATAGTCAAACCTATCAACAACATCGTCACTACAAGAATCTATTTAATCTATGACGAAAAAAATTCGTCATAGATCACTGAAAATTCGTCATAGAAATATGTCTGTGACAATTCTCTTATCGTCATCTATTGAGCGTCATAGATTAATTTTGCCGACGTTTTCTCCGAAATCGTCACGGATCAGTACAATCTATGACTTTTAAACCGTCATAAAACGCTTTTAGGCTCGTGTAGTCCAGCCCATGCCCAACCTTTGTGACAAAATTAAATGTCACAGATGGTTGCCACGTGGCGGCCAACATTGCAGGTGACATGGTCGTTGACACGTGTGTGTGATGACGTGTCACTGATGACGTGGCAGCTAAAGTTAGCAAATATTTTTAAACGGCCCATTATTTTTTTGACGGGCCATTAATTTTTTAACAGTCCATTAATTTTTTACAATGGTCCATTAATTATTTAACAGCGGCCCATTATTTTTTTAGAACTGGCCCATTTTAAAATAGGCCCATTTCAAAACTGGCCTATTTTGTCAACCAACTATCAGATCAAAGCCCACTAAACAGGCCCATTAAATTTGAGCCCACCAAATTCAATCCAATTTCACATACCATCTCAGATTCAAACCTAATAACAGATACCATCTCAGATTCAACTAATAACAGATACAATCATAATACAACAGAATTCAAACAATAGTTCATCTCAGATTCAACCTAATAACAACCTAATAACAGATAGTCTCAGATACTGACAATCAACCGAAGCTTAGCATTCTCCCTCTTCTCAGCTTTCAGTTCTGCACTCATCCTTGATCGCTTAGTGTGCATCCCAACATTCCGAAGGAACACACTCTTCTTGTGGTTGCGCTCAAGTACACTAGCTACAACCTGAAGCACAGACTTGGGTTGTTCGGGTGTAGCCATCCTTTTTCTCGCTGAAGTGGCACATTTTGAACAAATCAAACGCATCATGTTCTTTACCCTCATCCTCGTTCTTATATTCCTGAAAATCATGTTTATATGGTAGATTACTTAATCGGTGACAACACTTGATAGTAGGAAAAAAATGAAAATAAATAAACAGTGAACAAGAAGAAGGTTAGCATGCAAGTATGTACGTATAGATTTGCTGAAAGGGAGGAAGGAAAATTACCTGGAGAGAAATTGTGCAACTTGAGGTATATCCATGTCATTATATATTTTAGTAGCAAATGCCTCAGCTCATATGAACAAATCAAATGAGAGGTACTGAAGTCTATGACATGACAACTCACAAGAAATACTGAAGCCGCAGCAACTCTAACTCGCCATCGCTCTTGGTCGTTGCTACGGCTAACATGCATAAAAGAAATTAACAGATATAGCCAAAAAGAGACCCAACATACACATGGAATGAGTTAGCTTAGGCCTAGCAAAACTCACAAGCATAATAGGAGGACATAGACATAGCAAAATCAGAATTCCGGCAGTAGGCAAATCTTAGGCATTGTTGGACTTAGGCACAGCAAAACCTGTAGGATAGTATAGCAAAATCCTCTACCTTAGGCATTGCAAAAATAGTAACAGATTTGCCTAAGCCTAACAAGTTAAGATTTATCCATAGCAAAAGAGGTGTTACTTAGGCACAACAAAATCCTGATGTTATATATAGACATTGCAAAACAGTAAGAGTTATATATAGAAAAACATGTGAATGACTACATAGATATAGCACAAAAGTAAAAGTAATACATAACAAAAATCATGAGTTAGGCATAGCGTAATTGTTGGAACTAGACATAGGAAAATCAATGAGTTAGTAAAATTAACAGTCTCAAGATTAACATAGGCATAAAAAGGGAATATCTGGAGTGGGGTTGGCCCGGAGAGCGGCTACGAGAAGGACTGCTGCGACTGCGAGAGCGGCTGCAACCACGGCAGAGACGCCACCGCCATGGAAGCGGAAGCCGACGCACCACTGCTCCCCCCAGTCCTCCTGAACAGCCATGAACACACTACCATGAGCAAAACACATCATGCATGACCAGAACACAGCATGGAATTGGACGGAGGACGGAGATGGAGGCGGAGGAGCTCTCCACGGTGGTGGTGGAGGCGGTCGAGAAGGAGACCTCGCCCTTGGCTCGACTGGCCTGGCCCCCCCGACTCATCGGCTGCCTCCGCGTCCTCATCCTTCACACTCAGCACGGGGGGACCCGTCTCGGCCGGCGTCCTCCTAGGGCGACGCAGGCGACTCCCATGCCCTAGCCACTGCCGCCACCCTCCTCCTCCCATCCGCCTCGCCGCCACCCAAGTGGCCCACCATCAAATCATCTAGCTGTAAGGATGACGGTGGCGAGGCTCCTTATCCCCCCAGTAGCATTGTGGTTGGGGCACCTAGGCGCCCAAGGTGGAGGTTGCCTAGATCTGGGTCACCATGGTTGGATCCGATGAGGGGATGTTGGTGGGCATCTTTGGCCGTGGTGGTAGGCCGTGAGGTAACAGGAGTAGTAGAGTTAGCGGCTGGATGATAGGCAGTGATAGAGACAATTGCTGGTCCTCTAGGCGGTGATGGAGATTGTTGTTGGGTTACAGGAGACGGATACACGACCGCCGAGGTTGGATCCCTCCAGATCCGCTTGGTGGGGACAGGTGGTAGCGGTGACGGTAGTGACGACGCGGTTGGGTTACTTTGTGCCTGAACAGCTGCAGCAGTGGAGGAGAATGCTAGCAGGGTAGTGGGCGGTGGTGAAGGCAACAATGGGGGCTGTCGGATTTGGCATCCCCATATGCAGATCCAACGTGCTCTTGACCAGATCCGAAGAGGTGGCGGGATGGATGGCGTCAAGGTGGCGCGATGAATAGTGACGGCGTGTGGCTAGGAAGTGACATGGTGCCTTGATATGGCTTTCCCCGGCGAGGTGGCCCTCGGCAACAACGAGCGATGACGATGCAGGAGGGGTGACGAAGGCGGCAGTCCTCCCCTAACCCCTTCTCCTATCATGGTGACGGTGGCGGTGATGTGGTTTGTCCATTTGTGTCACTACTACAAAAACGGTTTTTCATGGCGTCACCCTAAAATTTTCGCTGGTGGCCATACGCGAAAACTGCAGCAACAAAGTAACAAGGGGTGGGGGGCTTCGGACCGCCAGCGAAAATTGATCTTCGCTAGCAACGGAGTTGAGCGGGCCACCAGCAAAGATGTCGCAGTTTTCGCTGACGGCGAACTTAAGACACAGCTAGAGAAGATGGCAAATTTTTGCTGGCGGGCGAGTGGCGTGGCCTCCAGCGAAGATGTAGCTATCTTTGCTAGTGGCCGACTTAAGCCACCACCACTCATATTGGCTTTACAAGCGGATAACTTAAGTGACAACCATCGAAAATTGATTTTCGTTGTCGGCTGCTGCTAAAGAGAACAGCCTGTGAAAATCATCGCCACACTAAAAAAAATAGTGACATTAAAAACCACCACCCACCTACTGCCTCCCTCTCCTCGCTCCTCCTCCTCCTCTCTAGATCCACCTACCCACCCACCGGCCACCGCCTCCTCCTCCTCTCAAGATCCCTCTCCTCCTCCCTCACCGGCGGCACTCCATCCCTCACCCAACGGCGGTCGTCGTACCCCTCTCCTCCTCCCTCCCCACCAGCGGCGTACAACGGCTCCAAGATGCTCTCGGCGATGGCGGCTCTCACGTCAGGATCTCTCGGCGGCGGGTGGTGGCACAGCAAGACCAGCGGTGGCACAACAAAGGGGATGCGGCGGTAGCGAAATTGCCCTCCCCTCACCTCCCCTCCTCTGTCCATAGGGGAGGAGGCCAGCAGTGGCACCCTTGCCCTCCCCTCTCCTCCTAGGCCTGTCTAGAGGGGAGGAGGCCGGCAGCAGCGGCAACAACATTAATAGAGGAAATGGCTTCCTTCACCTCCCCTTTTCCAAATCTGGCAGGAGGGGTGGCAGCCAGCAGATGGCCGGAGGTGGTGGCTTCGGCGACCGCTTGTCCCCAATGGCTTTGGTGGCTAGGGTTCTTGTGAATTGTGGGATACGCTGGGGAGCTAGGGTTTTAGTGATGAATTTTTATGTTCCGTTCTTCCATTTGATGCAGCGGTGATGCAGACGATTCGATTTGAATTTCATGTTTGATATGTGGAAATGGGATGATTAGATTTGAATTTCTTGTTTGATTCATGGAAGAGGGCAGCTGAATGCATATGGTTTTTTTTGTTGCCAAAATCCATCTGCACTGTCGGTCATCTTAACTCACCGCTTGCAAAAATTGGATTTCCACAGATGGTCGGTTAAACCTAGTTGCTTGCGAAAACCATTTTCACTGGCAGTTGGGCTAGGTTGCCCACTAGTGAAAATGATTTATCGCTGGCGGCTGGTTGCCGCCATTGAAAATGGTGCATTTTGGCCATTGGTTGCTGGCGGCAGTGCTGACCGTCGTAGAAAACCCAAGCTGGCTGCCAAGAAAAATCAATTTTGTAGTAGTGTATAGATAAGACGGAGAGACTGCGGTGCTCACTAGAGTGGTACTGATGGTGACAGCTCTCCTCCATCACGACGATGATCTACGGTGCTAGCAATGGAGGGATGTAGTGGCACTAGCGCGGTGTGACAATGTGCGGGAGACATGTCTCTTCCTCAGGATGGGACTCCTACATGGTGTCTGTCTGGCGATGGGGCGCTAGTGTGGCGGCTAGTGGGTGCAAGGGAAAGAGGTTCTCTGGTCGAAAGCCTAAGCTGTTTTAGGGTGAACAGCGGCAGCGTTTTCTAGCACTGCTTGGAGGCGTTGTTGTGAAGTCTTCTTCCTTCCCAATCGAATCCTTTGGGTGAAAACTTTGTCCTTGTTTCCAGGGATAGGCGATGGCTGCGCCCTAGGCGTCGCAGCTTTGTTGGAGGTATTGTTTGAAGGTCATTTCGCACTAATCTATTCTGTAGAGGGTTTGTTTTCCAGCTGTGGCGCTTTTGTCCACCATTTTGGCGGGTCCACGTGGTGGAGAGCAGATCCATGCTTCTCTCTCGCCCTCTCCCTCTCAGATTTGAGTGCAATGGGATGTTGTGTTCTTGTCTATTTCTCAGTGGCGGGCCATGTGTCGAGGCATGTGGCATGACATGTTGTATTTCCTTTTTCTATCTATAGCCTTCTAGGGCTATAGTCTTGTAAAACTTTTCTATTATATCAAATGATATCTCTCACTATCATGTGCGGGTTTCGTTTAAAAAATAGAATGGAGCTAGCTAGGGAGTATTAGGGCTCCCTGATGTTTTCCAATCCTGATTGTTGCAAATAATAGAAGGGAAAGTGTGGTAATTGCCAATCCGATTTTAGTGAAGGTCATCATCAACATCTCTAGTTCCCCAGTTTCTAGTACAGCTTACCGTGGGTGTCTCTTTTTTGGTGTTCCATAAAGTGGAAAGCGCGATAATTTAGGATGTACTAATAGATCCGAAATTTGGAAATTATAGAATTTTCAGAATTTTTTAATCCGAAATAATTAAATTTGTACAAATTTGGTCAATGATGGGGCGAAGGTTGGTGGGAGACCAGAAGGGTTGGCAAGAGGAGGAAGATCGAGAACTCCACCTCCCCGCATGGAAAAAGGTGTTGGCCATTAACGCGTGATTAATTAAGTATTAGCCCATAAAAACTTGAAAATGGATTAATATAATTTTTTAAAACAACTTCCCTATAGAAAACTTTTGCAAAAAAAACGCATCATTTATCAGTTTGAAAAGTGTGCGTGCGGAAAAAGAAGAAGGTGAGTTGGTTAAGAAGGGTGGAGAACATAGCCAGTTTTGAACTTACTTGGGTGTTGTGTCCATGCCTCTAATAATCTTTCAGCCTATCTTCTTATTGGTTCTCTATTCTACTGCTCCTCCGTGTAAATAATACTTGACATTTTGGATAAGAGTGATATCAAATATTAAAATATTTGACTATAAATATTTTCTTAAAATATATATATTACTTTATCATATATATAGATTAGTCTCAAAAAGTACTTTAATAAAATCATACATTTGTTGATATTTGTATCTATATTTTAATAAAAAGTATTGGTCAAAGTTGTTTCTTTAAACTGTATCATTGTTTAAATGGCAAGTATTATCTATCTAGAGGGACTAGTTTTTAATATGATTTGATAATAATAACCATTCTACCCATTTTAGATAAACCTGCAGTGGCCAGGGGTTTAGGATGGATAGATGGTTTTGAAGTAGATATAGTTGAGATGTCTTCGAAATATCCTTTGCCCTAGATTCAAAATTCTTTCCTATATCTTCCATTTAAATTTTTTGCTGATTTTTTAAATTTTATTTAGAGTGAATTGTACTTTGGGCAGAATTTGTCAGGAAGTTTTACTTTGGACCACCTTTCACATAATATTTTTCTTTGAACTACGTATTTTGGCCCTATTTCATTTTGGACCAGCCCAACTCTCTTAGCACATCAACAGCCTCAAGAACATCGACATGCTCATGTCGACGATCTTCCTAATTTACATATATGTCATGCTTTTGATGGATAAGTGATTGGATGTGACTACAGAACAGTATTAGGGTGATCTAAGAGCAATAAGGGTAAAGATACCTAATCCAAACTGAAAAACAAAGGATAATGGATGGCCCGAAGTAAAATCACTCTTATTTATTACCAAGCTTGCTATTATCTTAAAATCACAACCAAGTTTTACTTGTTACTACCTCCATCCCAAAATAATTATAATTCTATGTTGTTTAGCATATATTAAGGTTTGAAAAGAAAGACTATGGTGCCCCTCATTAAATAGATGTTTATGTGAGAGTGGGAAGATGGTTGAGGGTAAAATAGGGAGAAATTTAAATGAAAGATGATTGATGGGGCAATTAGTACTCTAGAATTACAATTATTTTGGGACAAATTTTGAATCCCAAAAATATAATTATTTTGGGACGGAGGTACTACAATATATTCTACTCCCTCTCTCTCTCTCCCCGTTTTAAATTCCTTGCCATTCTAGTTTTGTACTAGGTTAAGCATTTCTTTCCTTTGACTGTCAATTTGTAAAAGTTTATATAGATTAACATCATAAGATTATGATTTTAGATTTACCATCAAAAATACTTTCATAGAATATAACTCATGTATTGTTAAACTACATGAATCGTTAAAAATATATGGTGAAAATTATAAATATTTGTTTTAGGACAAAGATAGAATAACAAGTAATGTGAAATGGTGGGAGTATATATAGTTTTTAGCATGACGAGTGATATGAAAATGTTTTGTTTGGCCATAATAAGTTTTACGTATTCTCCTTTTGCCCCGAATAATTAGGATGTTGTATACTATATCGTCCAAATACTCATTTTGTTTGTCGATCAAATTATAATTTAACTGACGTGTATATCCATTATACTAAATCCCATGAACTATGGGATATAGAAGTGTAACACCATATCACTAAAATCTATATTACCCTGGCTCTACATATTAAGAGAGATACTATACTAAATTCCATGAACTATCACATACCAAGTTAACTCGTGTGTTTATATTCTAGTTATTTTGCTGCTCTACTTTTGCTTGAAGTGAGATCACGAAATAATTACATACTTACATACCTAGCTAATGAAGTTGGCATCCATATTGATGTTTCACTGCAGCTATTCGATGAAATCTCTGCGCCCCACATTCTGCATAACAAGTGCATCGCGGTGTCTCCAGGACCAAGTGATGTAAGTAGAAGAAAGATCTTGAACGAGGAGGTTGACTTACTGCAAAACCCACCACCTCGTCCTCCGATTGAATGCATTGTAAGTTGATCAATTGTAGTTCAATACAATTGGTGAGAATTAATAGTTATTTATATAATAGTGTCATTGTTATTTATCCCTTTTTTTAATATAAATAAATAACTATTATTATGACATTGTATCGAGTATCCCCATAGAAAATAAATAAAGTGAATCAGAGAGTAGAGTTAAAATTTCACGAGACCTAAGATTTTCACAGTACTACATTATATTATGTAAAAGAGAATAAGTTTTATAAAATTACAGATACTTAACCAAACTATCACAAAATAATATTTTGCACCAAATTTATCACAAAACTACATATTTAAGAGTATATATATATATATATATATATATATATATATATATATATATATATATATATATATATATATATATATATATATAACAAACCTACAGATTTAATGTTCAAGTTATCACAGCACTATAGATTTTGGAGTATAACTACTGTTATGTTGGAGCTGTAAACGTTTGTAACTGTGATTAAATTCACACCAAATCTATAGATTTGTGATAAATTTTCTATCTAATATGTAGTTTTGTGATGCTTCATCTTAAATATATAGTTTTGTAAAAGAAACTGGTACTAAATATGTTGACTTGTGATAAACACCTTAAAACTTTAGTTTTGCGATAATTTAATCAAACTATCTATAGTTTTATCAAATTTACTCTATATATAAACCTTCTATATATCAACCTAGCTTGACAAATAAAATTGTTTAGCACTGACAAAAGAGCTTGTTCGCTTTTTCCTACATACATTATGGGAATGTTCCATTTGAATGAGCAACTTTTCAATTTCTTGGGAAAATACAGGAGTACCCGCACTATCTGTTGTATTTTTGGGTTAACAATAATGCCACACGTGAAACTCTTGGGATCAAGAAGGTAAATTAATAGATTTTGTCCATTTCAATATAATAGTTTATACATGTAGTTTAGATATCAAATGTTGTTTTTTTTATCTTCCTGTCCTAACAAATTAGGGGACCGTGAATGAGTGGGTGAGGTGCCACCAAGGGGATCTACCTTATGATGAGGATATCGTAAACGGCATAGAGTATCATCGTAAGGTTGCATCACTGAATTACCGAACTTTGGTATATAGGTATGTATGGTTCAAACTATATTTGCATAGGGAAATTAAATAGATCTGTATTTTTCATGATAAATAGAAATTGTGTAGTTACCTTTACAGCAAATTGGTAATGGAATTCGCAAGTACCGAATATTCATTTATGTATTTGGAGTAATGTATCTTAATTTGAACCCCTAACTAGCTATTGTTTCTTTTGACACTTGATTACATAAAAACTGAAATAGAAATTACCAATAGCCAAGAGGGATCACACCATATGTAGAAAGTACTCGTGCCACATCATGTTGCCGCTGTTGGCCCAAAACCAGAGATTATGGGTTTGGCTCTGATACCACTTGAGTGTGGCTCTGATACCACTTGAGTGTGCACAAGCTTTGGCTCTGATACCACTTATTGGCCCAAAACCGGGTGATGTTGGCCCAACTGAGAGAAAGTCTTGCTACACCCCAAAAGCTAGCTCAAAAGGTGAGGGGCTCCCCTCACTTTTAAGTTGGTTCAACTCCTTCTAGATAAGCAATGTGGGACTATTCCCAACAGTCGCAGCTCACCGGCCGGCCTGTTTTTACTTGCTTTATTAATTGTCTCATTTTTTAATCCACTCGAGAGATGTTTTTTTTTCACTAATTTCTCATCCCTTCCTATTTTATTTGGATAGTGGCGACCATGATGCTGTTCTGCCATTTCTTAGTACCCAAGCATGGGTGAGATCACTCAGCGACCACATTGTGGATGACTGGAGGGCCTGGCATCTTGATGGCCAGTCTGCAGGGTCAGATATTTGCTTCAGCATATTAGTTCATTTAATAACAGGCCACTTCAGAATATTTTTAGAATACATATAAAGGTACAAACTATTTTGAACAATAATACTTATGCATGTGTGCTCTGAAATGTAATTGATTCGCAGATTCACCATGACGTATGGAAACAATGTGACGTTCGCTACTGTGAAGGTAAAAGCCCACATATTTTTATTTCCTCTATGCATAGTTTATTATCGTTTCCAACCAAAGCTAGCTCTTTATATGCCAGTATCATTTAGAGAAATACTTCAAATTAAGGATGTATAAGTCATTGAAAATTCTGTTATGCTATAGTTTTAAATACGAATGCAACGTTTCAATTTCCAAGATACTAAACAATATTAAAAATTATTCAAATAAATAAAGAATTAAGTCTTGCTTGAGTGTATACACCGCTAGAGATTACTATATGAATTTATCATAATCATTTAAAGAAATCAATTAAGGATTTGTCCCTTGAGTTATTATAATACCGTCTTATTTGTGAGTCCGAAGAAAAAGCCATGTTGGTAATCTCATGATAGCTTTGATGTATTAGGCTGAGTTCAGGAGGTGGAGTAACTCCACTTCCCCACACGGGAACGGTGTTGCCTATTAACACGTGATTAATTAAGTATTAGTAAAAAAGAGCTTGAAAAATGGTTTAGTATGATTTTTAAAAGTAAGTTTCCTATATAAAACATTCGCAAAAGCATGCGCACAGAAAAAGAAGAATGTGACTTGGGAAAGAAGGGGAAGAACACAGCCTTAGGCTGCGTTCGGATGAGGAGGTTCCCAGCCCCTTTCCCTCGTATTCCGCGCGCACGCTTTTCAAACTACTAAATGGTGTGTTTTTTGCAAAAAGTTTCTATATGAAAGTTGCTTAAAAAAATCATATTGATCCATTTTTGAAAAAAAAATTGCTAATACTTAATTAATCACGTGCTAATAGACTGCTCCGTTTTCCGTGCACAGGATTGGGTTCCCAACCCATGGTATCGAACACAGCCTATTCTAAGTAGTGTCCACCACAAAGGCTATTCTAATCAATTAGGTAATCCTAGGTTGTACAGTCAATGTGGGTAGCTTGCAAACAAAAAATTGACTATTAATTTTTGTATCTTTACTACAACAATATGTGTTAAATAATTTAATTTCAGGGCGGAGGACATACTGCACCAGAGTACCAGCCAGAGAGATGTTTTGCAATGTTCAGCCGTTGGATTTCCAACAGGCCACTTTGATCTGCGTACATTTGATGTAATCTAGGTATTTAACTTCAATAATGGTGAACTGGACTCTCCACATCATGCTGAGGAACACATGTGCACTTTCTAGTCTTATATAAAAAAGCTTATGGTTTGATGTAATGGATGGATCGCATGGTGATACCAAATCCAGATCACTAGTGCTCTGTTTTGTCTTCAAGGATTGGGATTGGTTTTGACGGTATTTGATTCTTTTCCATTTTTTCTTTAAATGAACCACACACCAGGAAATGCAAGTTTCATATTAATACAGTAAGAAAAAAAAAGATTACAATCCTGAGAGGCTATAATCATAAAAGAAAAAAAAGGCACAGCACCATCCACCACGAAACTGACGACCCCTATATACCACCTCGAGGAAAGAACTCACCAAGCCAACCACCGCTAAGCGTGACTTATCACCAACAACTTTACAAAGGGACATAGATGCCGCTCCGCAACAACTTTACAAAGGGACATAGATGCCGCTCCGCCCTACCACAGCTACAAGCTACAAGCAATCCACGAACTTCTAGTCGTCCCTGCAGAGAAGGGGTTGTCAAGGAGAAGGGCAAGAGAGAAGAAGATTCACTCGTCCCTCGTGCAGCAACAACGATGGTGACTTCCAAGAGTATAGCCAAAAGTCAAATAAATTGAAGTCGAGAAGAAACAGAAATAGGATCTCCTAGACAACGCCTCGGTCACGATGCCAATAAACACAAGCAAATAGTACATGAAAAGTAGTCAAAGAGGAAGAGATAGATGACAACATGTGGGTCCTTTATTTAGAAAGGGGAAATTATGAGAAAATGGCGAGGAGATTATGGGAAAATGATGAGGGATGAGTGTGAAATAGATTTTTGCAATCAATTGAAGGAGAAAATGCATGGGAAGGCATATCGACGTGGCGGTGATGCTAGGGTTCCAGCCGACAAGAAAAAACGATGACGAAAAAAGGAAGCTTAGCACGTGCGTAACAAAAATCTGCGACGGAAAAAACCGGATTAACAAAATAAAAGGAAGCAAAAAAAAAAAGAGAGCAAGCATCAAACAAGCCTGCAACGGAAAAAACATCGAAAAAAAATTCGAATCGACCATAAACAACAGGAAACCTTATAGATTTTTTTATTATATATATAATTATCGGTAGGTATAGGTAGATATAAACATGGGAGAAATAGAACAGATTGGAAGCATAATAAATTGCATCCTCCATTACGTGTTCTTTTTTATTAAGAACTAAAAAAAATACCCGTGCGTTGCAACGGGTGAAGGATTTTTTCTTACAAAATCATAAGCTGCAATTAGAAATCTGATCGTCTCAAGTTAGCATGTGAGTATGTCTATTTAAAGAGATTTGTAAAAAAAAGCGAAAGAACTTAAAAATGAATCAAATAGGGATATGTATTTTAAAAAAACGAATGGACTTAAATACCGACTCAAAAAGGATTACGTACTGAAGTACTGGCAAAAACATCTTCAATTTTTATATCTTTTAATAATTAGTTAAGAATAAATAGATTAGATTAGAGATAAATAGATATATAGGGATGATGCGTTTTTTCTGCCCCTTTTACCATATAATTTTTGCGTTGCCTACCAATGAGATTTTTTTCGCTGCTTTTTATTTTCTGACGTTGTTTTATTGGCTTTTTTGTCGCCACTTTTTTTTCATTGATTACGAATCAGCCTTCTTTTTCGCTATTTTGTTGGACGGCGTTTTTTCCGGTCTTTTTTTCCGGCTCGTTTTTATATGGCATTTTTTTTGCACGAATCGGACCTCTTTTTGGCTATTGTTTTTGGACGGGACTTTTTTTTCGCACGAATCGGACTTCTTTTTCGCTATTATTTTTTACGGCGTTTTTTTTGGGCTTTTTTTTCAGATGGCGTTTTCTTTTTCGCGTGACTTTTTTTTCACACGGAGGATGGAAACATTTTAGACTTTTTAAGTAGTACTAGCAATAGTGCCCGTGCGTTGCAACGGGAAAAACACCGTTTGATAGTGTGACACCTTAAAAACCTCAAATCGGTAAAAATCAAGTCTAAATTGATATATTAACAAATAGGTAGAACCGAGTCTAATTTGATGAATTAGCATAGGATTTAGGATTTAGTTTTAGATTTATTTTTCGAGCCTAGTTAGGAGTTTATCCGACGAAATTTAATTTAAAAAATCTGAGCTTTGATCAAATTTACTTTCGGCCCAGGTCCTCCCAAGACGACCCAAACTTGGGCTGGCCATCTTCGGCGAGCCGAGTCAATTCGACAGCCTGCAAGTCGAGCAGCTGACCACGGCACATATGCGGGGACGGTCCGATGCACTTCCACAGCCCATTGGGCGCAGCGTAATCTGTTGCTGCGGCGGCGGCCTGACGCTAGGCAAATCTGAGCCGTTCGATCTATTGGACGGCTCCGATCGTCCTCTTGCCGAATGAAGTGCCAACCAGGAGAGAGGGGCAAAACCCTAGCTCCCAAATCTCTCTCTCTCCTGATCCTATTTCTCTTCGGCGATAAGCGAGCGGAACAATGGCGAAGGCGGCGATGGCGGTTTGGCAAGCTAGTGCACGCGTGCGGTAATGACCGCCGAGCAGCTCCTGCTTTGCCGGCTGTGGGGCGCACCTGAGGGCGGCACAAAGCCGTGCCACGGCGTCGGTGGTCTGGCTAGGTGGGCGCGCAAACAGCGACGAGCACCGAGCGGCATGGACCTCTAGGCGGGAGGGGCGACGCCAAGCCGACGCTTCCCGTCTTCGGCAAGGTATGGTGGAGGGGTGCTCCAGCACAACGCGCGCACAGGGAACCCGACACGACTACGAGGAGGTGAAGGTGTGGTGGTGCCGCTTCCCGAAAAGCTCCGGTGAGCTTTGGGACTTCAAGTCCGGTAAGTAATCCGAACCCTTAGCTTAATTGATTTTGACTGTTAGGGTTCTTACCTGAAATTAGGGTTCTTCGAATTTGGGGAATTTTGTCAGGAAATTTCAATCTATTTTATTCCCTCTTTTTGAGTTAGGGGAGTTTCAATATCGTTTATCCTCTTTTAATTTTAGGAACTTCAATCTAGTTTATCCCTTTGCTCAATTTCTTTTTTTTTCTGCTTTGGCTAGTGTTTCATCGCACGGACGGGGACGGAGGGCGCTGCTCGGTCCCCTCGGAAAGATTGAGATTAAGATAAGATAAGATTTTTACAGACGACGGAAGTAAATTCAATCGTAAGATACTATTTTATTCTTTTTTGTTTTAATTTTTTTTTTGCCTTTTTCCGTTTCGTTATTACGGACGATGGAAACGTTTTCAAGTTTTTAAGTAGTAGAGATAGAGACATATACTACAATGTCACGCATAATAGTATTTATTTTTTTACCGCGTCACATATAATTCCTTTTTTTTGGAATTGTACCGAATTCGTTTTTGTCCGCTTTTTTTTACCACGTCCAAAGAATCGATTCTTTTTTTTGCCTTTTTTTCACCCGATTTCTTTTCGCCTGGTCTTTTCACCCGATTCTTTTTTTTTTATCGGACAGTCCTTTTTTTTCGCCTTTTTTTACACGGGATCGGATTCCTTTTTTCCCCGGTTTTTTCTCGCCCGATTTTTTTTCACCTGGTTTTTTTGCCCTTTTTTATCACGTCCACGGAATCGGATTCTTTATTTTTTTACCCTATTTTTCGCCCGATTTTTTTTATCATACAGATTTGGTTTTTTTTCGCCTTTTTTTACATGGGATTGGATTTGTTTTTTCCCGGTTTTTTCTCCCTGATTTTTTTTCGCCTGGTCTTTTCGCCCGATTCTTTTTTTTTATCGGACAGTCGGTTTTTTTTATTTTTTTCGCCTTTTTTTACATTGGATCGGATTCGTTTTTTCCCTCGGTTTTTTTCGTCTTCTTTTACTGCAGTCACCGAATCGGATTCTTTATTTTTTACCCGATTCTTTTTTTTATCGGACAGAGTCGTTTTTTTTGGCCTTTTTTTACACGGGATCGGATTTGTTTTTTCCCTAGTTTTTTCTCGCCTGATATTAATCGCACACGGACCTTTTTCTCTTCTTTTTACGTGAACTCAAAGGGAGTCGGATGTATTTTTCACGGGAGTCGGATTTTTTTTTTGTTTTTTTACAGTTTTTCTCGCTTTGTTTTCTGTTTTCTCGCTTTTTTTTCTTTCCTACGGACGACGGAAACATGTTGTATTTTTTAAGTAGTGTATATATATATATATATATATATATATATATATATATATATATAGATAGATAGAGATAGAGATAGTAGAAGTAGAAGTAGATAGATAGATAGATAAAAATGAAAATACAAGCATATTACATGGTTACGGAAAAAAAAAGAAACTAGCATACCAACGCAGCAACGCTAATGTTCGTGAGGCCATCAAGCAAATAAAATGGAGGTAGCTTGTATTTGTATGCAATTTAGATGTACTAGCAAAATGCCCGTGCGTTGTACCGGTAATGATATGGTGACTGAAATTTGACTTGAACTATTTATATGAAGAAAATGAATTGTAATTTAATGAAATATAAATTTTCTGCAATATTAATTATACTCTTTGAAATTATAACAAAAGTAGTCGTGCGTTCCAACGAAAAGAAAAAAAAAAGATAAAATTGAATTAAAACATATTAAATTCTAATTAGATGAAATACAAATTTTCTGAAAAATTTTGGTATTTTTAAGTAGGTAGGTATATAATTAAATTAATTTATAAGTAAAGTAAGTGCGATAAATAAAATGTTATGGTTGGATTTAATTTTTATTAAATTTTCTATATTAATTACACTCATTGAAATTTTCTTAGAATTTACATAGCTTCATTGCTAATTTTGATAATACAAATATCATTTTAGTATTTATTTAAATAAAAATCTTTTTTTTCTCTATGGGCTTTTTTCAGCCCATTTTCTTCTTCAGCCCGCAAGCGACCAAAGTCTACTTAATACCCCCATACTCCTTCTCTCACTTGGTGGACCGCCAGCCCGCGTGCGGCTCAAGTGGTGTGGCCGAAACCCTCGATCGATCTGAGCTATTCGTTTGGATGGACGGCTCAGATCAGTTCCATATTGATGAAATCCCTAACCCTAACACTAACCCTCTCCCTCCCTCTCCCCTAGCCGAGCCGAGCCGGCCGCCTCCCCGACCCCCGACGCCACCTCTCCCCCTCTCCCTCTCCCCACTAGCGCCGCTTTCCCTCCCATCCCCTCCGGCGGCGCCGCTCCCTCTCCCCCTCCCCCCAGCCAGCCGCCTCCCCTGCCACCGGCGTCGTCTCTCCCACCACCGGCGTCGTCTCTCCCCCCCACCGGCGCCGCTTCCCTTCCCTTCACCCTCCCTTCTCGCTGTCACGGCGCAGCGACGGCGGGGTGCGGCGGAGACAGCGCCCTCCCAACGGCTGCGTCGACAGCGTCGGCGGCATCCGTGCTCCCTCTCCCGCTCTCCTTCCCGTCTCGCCGGCACGGCGCAGCGACGGCGGGGTGCGGCGGAGACGGCGGCGACGGCCATCCCTCCCCCTCTCCCTGTCAGCCTCGACGGCAACGACGTCCTCCCAACGGCGGCGTCGGCTTCGTCCGCGGGTGGATCCGTCGGCAGTGGCGGCGACCGCTGGCGGATTCGGGCTCCCTCCGCGCCTCTCTTCTCCCTTCGGCAACAGTGGTGGCGTAAGCTACCGCCGATTTTTTTAGTTTTTTTGCATTTTTTTTCATGTCTATTGCTAACCAAATCGGATTGCGTACGGACGAAAACACGGATAAAAATTAGACGTGACGAAAGGAAAAACACGAATATTTATATTAGTTATAGATAGATATATTAGAAAAATATTATTATGTTTCTATTATATTTCAAATTTTACACGAATGATGCGGGGACAGCAGCACTGCATGCAGCCACGTTTCCAGCTTTTCGCAGAGAGAAGAATTCAACGCAAAGAAGCTCGAAAAAGAAAAAAAAAATGAAAACAGGGGGCCCGTCGAAAGCAGCCCATCCTCAGCCCATAGTCCAACACCACTAATCCCTAATTCCGTCCTCTCCCTCCCACTACCCTCAGCCGCCACCAACCAGTCCATCGTCGCATCCTCCGTGCAAGCAGCAGCCGGCTCGCCGCCTCTGCCCCTACCTTCTCCACTCCTCTTTCTCTCATCTTCCGCCCCAAGCTTGCACTCTCATCCTGCCCGTCGTGGTGCGCCCGCGGTGCATTTTGCCTCATGTGCACTCCGAGACACTGCAACGACGGTGAAGAGGAGGAGAAGGCGGCTACAGTGACCATGGAGATGGTAGATCTGGCGGTGGGCGGCTAGCAAGGTGAAGGCTAGCTATGGGTCGAGGGCAGCAGCCAGCAAGCAAGGCGGAGGTCCGATTTGTCGGAGCCAGCAAGGTGGAGTCTCAAACTCTTAGGTCCGATTTGTCGATTACTTCCTCTTGCAATGCTAATTTTGTTTTTATTGGGATGGGTTTGATTTCTTCCATGGATCCCTCTGCTTTGACTATAATTGAATTGGTGTGGATTAGAGTCCAATTTGTGTGGATTAGAGTCTAATTTGACAATTCAGTGTTCTCTTTTCTTTTCAGTTTCGTGTATGAACTGGGAATTGGAAATTTAGAGACGATCTAGTTGTGTAGGAAATTTTGGGGTCCAAATTGACAAACTTAATGTTCTCGCTTCAATTTCGTGTACGAGTTGGGAATTGAGAATTTGGAAACGATCTAGCTACGTGGGAATTTTTGATTTTGTTCATGTGTTTATGCTTGACTTTTCCCTGTCTGATTCTGAGGATGCACGCAGCTGTGAAAGCGCATTGTGACGGGACGAATCGAAGTGTGACGATTGGAAAATTACGATTTTTTATATTAGGTATAGATATAGAAAGGATTGAGGAGGGAAGGAAACTGTGGAGTGTGGACACAATCGACCGGAGAAATCAACTCTCCTTTGCTCATGACCGAGGCAGACTCGCTTTTGATGGACGAACGCTGGCGGAAGCAGAAAAAAAAAATCAATACGGACACGATAGGACGAAATCGTGACGAGGACAGACGAAACGTCCTATGAATATGGAATTATTTTTAATTTTTATAATAGGTAAAGATTATGATAAGATGCATCTAGCAATCGTAAATGGATTCGGATGAGGTACCAAAATCTTGACAAAAGCATCTTCAACTTTTATAATAGTAGATGTTTTAGTCTTTTTATCTCTCGTCTAGATTTACTAGCATCAATTAGATACTATCACCCTTACAAGTCACTTGTATTTTCACATTCACCCCTACAACTTAATTAGGTACAAAGACCCCCATAACTCAATTTCCCTTCTAACTTTCCCTCCATCAGAATTAATTGATCTCTCCTCGTTTGCTCAATTTCTCATGATTTCATCTTGTTTGTCCCAGTTTCTAGTGACCCGTGAGCCTCCATGGGAGCTATGTTTATAGGGGTGGACAAAAAGCTCGGGCTCATGAGCTTGGCTCGGGTTTGGCTCGAGCTCGCGAAGCTCGGCTTGGCTCGAAGACTAAACGAGCCGAGCCCAAGCTGCCTCCTGAGCTCGTTTGTAAATCGAGCCGAGCCCAAGCTAGCTTGCAAGCTGCTCGGTAGGCTTGTCAAGCTTGTGCAAAATCTGACCTGGCCCATTAACAGGTCTGGCCCATGAGAAACCCTAACCTATTATGCGTACAGCACAGGCACTGAGGCACAGAAACCCTTCCCTTCCCAGTTCCCACACGTCCACGCCGCCATCATGAGTCAGCGATGGTCGAGGGCGAGGGGCATCTGGACTGGGCGACAGGGCGTGAGGAATCGAGGGCTTGAGGGCCTCACCGGCGCCGCCGGCCGCCGGCCGCCACCTCCCTCCCCTGCACTGTCGGCCGCCATCTCCCTACCCTGCGCCACCGGCCACCGCCGCCGAAGGCCGCCACCTCCCTCCCCTGCGCCGCCGGCCGTCGCCTCCCTACCCTGCGCCACCGGCCACCGCCGCCGAAGGCCGCCACCTCCCTCTCCTACGCCGCCGGCCGCCGCCTTCCTTCACTGCGCCGTCGGCCGCCGCCTCCCTCCCTATTCCTAGAGGCCACGCCGCTCGACGCCCTCTGTGCCGCCGGCCCGCTTCCTCCTCCCCGTGCGCGGCTGCACCGCCTTCGGCCTCCCTCCTCAGCGACGCTCGTCGACAGTTCAAGCTGGCTCGAGCTAGCTCGAGCTTTGGAACGAGCCAAGCCAAGCTGCCTTTTTGCTCGTTGTATTTATCAAGCCAAGCCAAGCCTGTCCCTGACAAGCTTTCACAAGCCGAGCCGAGCCTGGCTCGGCTCGTTTCCACCCATTACACCATGACACAATGACAAGGCGAGCACATTTAGGGCATGTTTAGTTGGCAAAAGATTTTGCCCCTGCAATGTCATGTAGAATATACGGACACATATTTGAAGTATTAAACATAGTCTAATAACAAAACAAATTGCAGATTTTGCCTAGAAACTGCGATATGAATTTATTAAGCCTAATTAATCCGTCAGCAAATATTTAATGTAGCATCACATTGTCAAATCATGGCGCAATTAGGCTTAAAAGTTTTGTCTTGCAATTTCCTGAAGAACTGTGTAATTGGTTTTTTTTGTCTGCATTTAATACTCCATGTATATGTCTAAACATTCAATGTAACAGCATGAAAAATTTTGTTTGGGAACTAAACAGACCCTTAGAAATGGTGATGGGTGGAAGACCAGAAGAAAACGAGGTGGAAGTTTCTTACATGCTACTAAAAGAGTACTACTCCATCCGTCCCAAAATAAGTACAGTTTTAACACTTTTCATGCTCAACGCTCGACCGTTTGTCTTATTTGAAAAACAATTATGATTAGTATTTTTATTGTTATTAGATGATAGGAATTCCTAGATGATAATACATGAATAGTAATTTATGTGTGACTAATATTTGTAATTTTTTTTTATAAAATTTTCAAATAAGACAGATGGTCAAAACGCGGGATACGGATATCTATAGCTGCACTTATTTTGGGACGGAGGTAGTATCAAATTTGAAACTGACTTTACTGCTTTGGATTTTGGACCCTTCAGGACTTGAAACATTTTGGGACATGTTTGTTGTTGTGATGTTCAAAATTCGAATAATGACTGACAGTTAACTACACAAGAGACCAGGCTGAGTTGGTTTCCAAATTTTCCCAACTCACCTCTCTCTTTTTTATCATGACTGAAAGATATTGGTTTGTTTTTTAAAAAAAATTCTATACGAAAGTTGCTTTAAAAATCATATTAATCTATTTTTTATAAAATTGATTAATATTTAATTAATCATACACTAATGAGTTGCTCCGTTTTACGTCCGCAAGGGACTAGTTCCCATCCACAAGTGCCGAACACAGCCCATGTGTCATGCTGCACCCTTGCGCTATGATTCCTATCACACCACCATGTTGAAGGTTGACATGGGTCATGAGAAATTGAGCAAACGAGGAGAGAAATTAGTGAAAAATGAAGGGAGGGGAAGTTAGAAGAGAAATTTAGTTGTTAGGGGTCTTTTATATCTAATTGAGTTGACGAGGGGAGGATGAAAATACAATAGGGGATATTTGGATTTTTCCATATGAAATTAAGATATATATAAAACACGATCCCTTTTAAAATACCTACCACCACACGTAGCATTAGTAGTGTAGTAGGATCTAAATCCGAACATTGATTATTATGGACATTTTAGGTTTTTTCTTAATTAAGGTGGAAGGGTATTTTAGTGTTTTTGTTGTGGTCCGAATCGGTCGAAAAGATGGGCTGCTATTGATCGGCCCCAGCCGCCCTACTCTCGCGAAGGCGCAGGACGCCGCTGCTCTTCTCACGCTCATGCGTTCTCGCGACTTCCATACATCGTCACTATGTGCGATAGGGTCAGCTCCTACTTTTCCTGTACTAGAAAAATGAAGCTTGCTTATTTATCTTGTGATTTTTTTCCTGGAGCACATGTATACTTTTTAAAGTAATTACTTTGAGACTGATAAAATCTATGTAAATATCATATATTAAAAGTATTATTCAATGTGTACTTGGATTTATGTTTGTAGAATACCTAGGAAGAATTATAGCATGACAGTATACACAAAACAAACAGGTGAATTTCGTCTCACTTTTGTAAATTTAAATTTTGCATATAATAAAATACTTTTTATTTCTTGCTATTTTTCTAAAAAATGTTTTACCTTTTCTATAATATGGGATTAACATGTTTAAGTTACATGCTTCCAATTTTAACATATCACACTTAGCACTAAGGGCATGAATAACGGTACAATCACCGTATACGAGAGAATGCCATTCCGTATATATTTTCTAATGTGGAGGTGAGTGAGAGAAGAGAGAGATGATATGTCTGTTAATTGCTAGATATATATGCTACACACAATATTTTAGACAGCTTAATACCATATATGCACTCCATATACAAAATATAGAACTAAATTTATAATGTAGGTAACATGTTATATGAATTCTCTTGTATATCATGTAAATATGTTGTGGGACTATTATAGGGCAACCGCTCTCTAAACTATTTATCATGTTCTTTTTGGATATTGTGCACCAACATCCTAAAATAGTATGTAAATATTGAAATATTAGTAGAATTACTATTTTTTGTCAGCTTTTTATATTTGTTTATACTTATCTTTTTTATACACAAATTTTATTATTTGTTGTTTTATTTTTAAGTAATATATGAATATTATAACCCAATCTAAGCGTGTGCATTTTTTTCTTTATTACGTTGCAAACTATATCGTATTCTCTTCTTGAGAAACATATGCTTTTAAAATGGCATTGACACTGAAATTTGATCATTAATATTCATGCAAATTATATTATTATTATTATTATTAGCTATAAAATTAATACTAATTTAACGTCACAATAATTGTATATGAGACCAATATACTTTGATTTTTTTTATTCCAAGCATGTTATATGCTGCAGTACTCACACCAAGGGTTCAGCTCGACTCGGCTAGCACAGGCGCACAGCACGGCCGAATGTGGTTAGCTGGGATGAGTGTGTTTGGTCTAGATAGCAGGGACGGCAGGCGAGACATCCAGAATTTGCTTGTTATTTTTTGTTTTCTCCCGCACCAAAACAGCAGTAAAACAGCAGTATATGCGTGTGACACAATGGCGGATTTAGTGGATGGTCCCACCCAAAAAAACAGCATCAACCCCACTATAAAAAATAGCGACTATTAAAAAGAAAAAAAAAGCGATCTATTCTACTCCATCCGTCCCAAAATAAGTAGTTTTGCACTATTCATGTCTAACCTTTGACCGTTCGTCTTATTTGAAATTTTTTTATAATTAATATTTTTATTATTATTAGATAATAAAACATGAATAGTATTTTATATGGGACTAATTGTTTTTAATTTTTTTATAAATTTTTTAAATAAGACGTACGGTTAAACGTTAGACACGGATATCCACGGTTGTACTTATTTTGGGACGGACGTAGTATTTCTCTTTCCTGGCGCCTGGCACGCACGGCCCATAGGCCCCACACGCGAGTTGCGCGTGTATCGAATTGATCGACGCGACTCTCTCCTCCCCCTAGCCCGTAGCCCTAGCGACGACGCGATCGGGATCGGCGATCTCTGAGACTCTGATCTCATCTGATTTTCTCACGCCACGGCCACGCCACGCGATTACAGTTCACACTTCACAGAGCCACGCCGCCGCCGGCGCTCGCGCGAGCGGGCGCCCCCACGCCCACGCCGCCGCGCGCGAGTCCGCATTCCGCCGCTGGATCAAATCAAGCATCTCCTGCGTACAGTAGCTGCCAGCCATGATCACTTGTGGCAGCAATACTTTGAGGGCATCTCGATCGTTTTCAGGACGTCTCTGGCTTGACAGCTGAGTTGAGATTATTCAGGTTGATCTTTTTGCTTGGTTCAGATTTCAGACCCGTCAGACTATTCAATTCTGTTTTCCTACTCGTTTTACAGGTTCTGAATTTGCCAAATGCCGACCAAACGAACTCAACATGACGTGATTTTGTTGGATGAAGAGAACATAATGAAGACTTTCATGGTCATTAGAAGACATAGACCCGATAAGAAAAAAAAAATAATATGGTAATTTTCTTTAGACTTTCATAGCCATACAAGCTTCTGTAAATCAAAATTTTACTTAATTACTAGTTTTATCTATGCTTGCATTGTACATATGTGTTTAGGAAAAAAAATTTAGGTCAGACCACCCATATCCTAAATCCGCCACTGGTATAACAACCCATTTGCCCAATGCTTTAATGACACGTGGCATAAAGTTAAATGGTAAAAATGGACCAATCAGAGATAATTAGATTTGCGAGAAATTGGTGCTGTTCCATAGCACTCGCGAGAGATGTGGGGTTGGGTGCATGTGCCTGCATTCGTTACTGTTGCCGCTGGTGAAGTTGGTGATGGCAAGGCTCTTCTGTCACGTGCCACTCAGGTATCTACATGGCTTTAGAAGATTGGACTGCACTGAGACCTAGAACCTTCCGCAGGGTATTTCATGAAGTATCAGATACAAATCACACCTAAAACGGATTAGTGATATGCCCGTGCTAAACACTACGGTGTAATTTTAATTTTCTTTAAAGAATTTTAAAATAGCATGTTACCAAAAACAATTTCTTGTATGATCTATGCAGTTGAGTCTTAATCTAATTTATGTCGTCTGTCAAATATATTCATGGCAAGAATAATATACTGTGTGGGTTTAATAGAACGGATTTTCGCCAATATCTATTTAAAAGATGCATTTTCAACCCTCTAATTTAAATATTTACCAAACAAAAATCAAAAGGTTGAAAGTTTTAAAAATTGAAATGAAAATTTAAAATTTTCAAGTACAATTTTTCATAATTGGAGTAAACAATTTAAACTTAAAAAGTGGATTAAAAATTTTTATGTGCATGAAGATGAGCGGCGAGTGGTGACGAGATAGATAAGGCACACGTTGGCCGCTATCCTTTGAGCACATAGCACAAGGGCATGAATGTAAACCCAAATAACAGTTTGGTATGAAACATATGTCAACGTAATAATAGCATGTTCGTGCTAATGCTACTGCGGCATTTGGAGCAACGACTACTATAACCACAAATTCACAAATAAACAACCATTTATAACACAAGAAGTTCATTTAAAAAATCATATCGATGGTGTTCAAATCCATACAAAGATTATTACAATTTTGGTCATTTACTCATTGCTACATTTCATCAAAGCTACTTGGAAAAAAATATCATCTTCCAGGAATCAAGACAGGGATGAACGATTTCATATCACTGGAACTTTAACCCATGTCTCACCCTTTTGCTAATACTTCATTTCACTCTTCACAACATAGCACAACTACTGCACTTTAGCTAAAAAGAACTTCTCAGCCATTTCACAAGTTCACATGAACAGAACACCATGTTATAACGAAGCAGCCATTTAATAAAACACCTTGTAAATGTTATAACCAATAATTATTGATCAATTTGTAATATATACTGCAGGAAACTCTGGTATGGTGTTAAAAAAATAGATACGCAAAGTTTCTAGCAGCAAATTACCTTGTTGCAATTTACAGGGAGAAAATGATAATACTCATGGCAATACCTCAGATTGAGGGCAAATTACCCCGCAACAGGCATTGGTATTCCATCAAATTTTATGACTGCAAAAGAATAAAAAAAAACTTAGCTTTGATACTGAATACCATCATGTTTCGTTTTCTGCCCCTCAAATCATTTGATCTGAGGCCAAGTAGAGGGAGGAGAAGAACAACATTTGCAGGAACAAAGAATCATGCAGAAGAAATTATGCAGTAATTATGAACATCTTTACATTTGATTTGAGAATAAAATTATAAGCAAATTATGGAGCGGCCAGAATCATGTATGAATGATCCGTAGTTATCAACTGATCTACGATACACTAAAGATGCAAAATGTATGATCAGGGATTTGCTATTAAAAAAATAAAATGGAACTGGATTCATTGTTTTGAAGCAATGCATTTGCTGCTGAAATGGGGAGGATTCCTAACATGAGGTGCTTTTATGTTTCGTGAAAATCATAAGATATCCATGGCAAAGGGAGTAAACCATGAAGGAAATGGTAAGAAATGTGCTCCCGGTCCCCTGGTATAAAACTCATTTACAGACATGTAGAGTCAAGGGACCAACTTTGAAAAAGCTTCCATCAACAACTCGCCGAACAATATGATAAGCCTGCACGTTTTCTACCCAGGGATAACTCCAGATGATTCATATCATGCAGGTGCTAAAACGGGTGATTAAGCACATATGCTTGACTTGTGATTCATATTTCATGGTAAAGGCTGACTTGGATTTTGCTAACACATACAGACAAAATTGTTGCATTATACTACTTATTTTCACTGCATTGCTATCAGAAACCAAGTTGTCGTTTAATACGATACAAACAAGGAATTCAATTCCAAATCCTTTTCATGGAAGGACAACAAAATTGACAATGCACTATGATGATGGGTGAAAAATCATGAAATTTGTGCAAAGTCATGATTGACAATTTAAGAAAAATAGTGTCACAGTTGTCCCGGACAAGAAATGCCAGGGAAGTGCAGCTCAGGCTCAGATGATGATGATTTACTTCCAAACAGCAGGCAACACTTGTCTAACCGAAAGTGCCCAACCATTCAACTTTCATTCTGAATTTCCGACAGACGACCAAAAGAGAGTAACCGCAAATGAAGATAATGGAGATAAATTACAGGAAGGCAGTGCATCTGCAGCACAAATATGACTCACTAATTCAGACAAAGAATACCAAATCAAATGCATTTGTTCAGATGATTTAGATGAGACATTCAGATGTATCCCTTGTTTCAGAGAACTTTGATTCTACGCAAGTGCTGAGCTTAGTTGCATCTAAAGCAGAGCTAGAAAGGCTAATGATCTTTTGTGTTGTTTTCTCTCTTGGGGAGGAAAAAGACTAATGATATCAATTCAAATGCTATTTTGTCAGTTTAATCAACCACGGTTGTTGTGTTCCGTTCGAACCATCCTTTTTTTTTCTAATACTTATAACTCCATCCACTCAGATCAATCTCAACTTGTTTAAAAATGTGTACATCCATCAGGTATTTTAGTTGATGCAGAGACACATGGAACATATATTACTCCCACAGATGTACACCTACATAGCGAAAGTAGTAGAAAGAACTATCCATGTGACAACCATTAAAAACCTGAGAACAACCTAGTTCCCACTGATAATATTTTTGGTCAGGCAATGCAGTTTGAAAACGAACATCACTTATTGAGCCGGTGTAAATGCCAGCGAACTCCAACTAATATACCCTCTTCCTACTATCGCAATCTTTTCAGGTTTTGAAGGCAGATCAAATAATGTTGCATCTGAATAGACATGATCTATTCCTAGAATATTTGCCATGGATGGACAGCCACCAACTGCTGTGAAGTAAAGTGTTCCCATGGTCATATCATCATCACCTCAAGGGAAACAACATTGCACTGATGTGCAAAAGAAAACATGCATTTTAGTTTCAGGTGTATTTGAGTATGCAGACAGTAAACCAAATATGAAAGCAAGCTAAAAGTACTAACTTCTGATGGAAAGTCATATAGTTATTTCACAACATCCTACATTATGAAGCTATATATGAAATCTCAAAAAGCTACATATGGATGGCAGGGAGTTTCAAGGTTGGTGGATTCCGACCACGCACCAAACATTCATTGGTCTTCATGATATTAGTAAATTTTGTTACTGGTGACTAACTCTTTAGCTTAAGCGCTAGAAAATTCAATAGAAAAGCTAAAGATAGATCATGAATTTAGTTTAGCCTGAACTTAAAATAAAATGATGACTAAAACATATCATCAGCTATTTATCATTCCATATATAGGCAATTCAATTACAGTTTCACAGAAACAGAGGAGAAAAATTAAGGATTTTCAGACAACTACGGTCTGCTGCAAATTATATTTAAAATAGAAAATCCATTAAAAGGTCACCTCTAATGTGCAAATTCTGCAGGATTTATAAGACCGGGGGATAAGGACATAAGTCTTCACTGCAGGTTACAGGAAGATGAGCAGCTATACAAGAAATCATGCAAATTGGAAAAACCGAGGAATTGTAGGAAACCTTTCCTTCACTCCCAGATCACAGAAAAGCAAAAGAACTCACCTTCAATGTCATACAAGGAATTGTAGTGCACCTCACCCAGAAGGTTAACCAAAGCTATAGAAAAGGAACGAAGGGAATGATCAAATACCACCATTTTTCATTGGGATAGATTTACCAAACCCATGTGCTACCATGAACCTGGTGCCATACGATTGGAGGTAAAAATATGAGAAATAATTGCAGTGTGTACAAACATGGTAGCATATATACCTTATCAAGTGTAAAACCAACATATACTTTTGTATTAAAAAAATCAGCATAAGCATTTACATGAAAAGTTCAGCATATACGCATCTACAGGAAACCAGAGAGGCCTTATTTGTGTACATACAAGATATTTTTAGGTGACATGTCTAGTATTCATTTGAAAAGGGAACTTTATGGCAACAATAACCAGCGCACAGATTTAACAAAGAAAACACGACTCATATAATTATGAATCGATACCTAGAATGACCCAATAGAACATTCAGTTTATATACTGAAAAGGTAATTCAGTGAAAACATTAAGCTTGTATATAAGGCAATACAACTTCTGACTATTGACTAAAAAGGCCAATTAATATCCTGAACTTCGCTTCTTTTTTTTTTTGGCATTGGAAGAAAAAGAAGTATGTGCAACCAGTTCGTATTAGTAAAGGATTGGTTCCAATTAAATATCATTTTCATTATCTGTAAATATTATTAGGTAGCTTGAGCAATTATTTACCTTGCAAAAAAAACAGATCATATCATTGAGATGTTTTACTGTGCTTACAAAGTAATAGAGGTACTTTCACTTTAAAGAGATATAATCAGCAGTCGATCACCTCAAGTGCATTACCAAATATTGTCGGACGACGCGGCAGTGGCGGCGGTGGCAGTTGAGGCGGAGGCCGAGGAGGAAGTCGTCAAAGCAGCGCTCTTGACAACCGAGTCTCAAGCAATTCTTACACTGGAGCACGTCAACCCTTTTGCCTGATCCATGCTAATTCTGCTGAAAACAAAGAAATAACACATATATACCCTCAACAAATTAAAGAAATGGCAAGTACTGAAGTAGGTACTTGACATATAGAGCAAGCAGGTCTGAAGTAGGTAAATTCGGCAGAATACTGGAGCTAGTTTATGGTACACATAAATTTGTAAGACTTGATGGAGCAGGCCTTCAATATAATGGTAAATGAGATATTTGCTTAAAGTTGTCTTCAGCTACAAAACACTCTACAGAAAATTATGCTCATATACATTGTAATTAAAGTTGATAATTCTCATGGCCAAAAAAAGTGCAGTTAATGAAATGACCAAAGGTTGAAATCCCAAAATTTCACTAAACGCAACACATTGGTTGTCATTGAATCACTGGAGCATCCAAGATAGAAATCACAAAATACATCAACCTACCAGCCTCCCAGGTGTTTGCAGCAGGAACACAGGGGGACAGGGCACTACCTAGTGGTTACCCCAATAACCCACTAAATTTTGCACAAACACTCATGTTCTTAGGTTACAGTTCTTGAAGAGTAGTTTTGCTGTTGATCGCGACGGAGATTGGGGATCCGCAGTACCGGTGGCGGGATAACACGACGGCGGCGGCGCGGGCAAGATGCAGGGCGACGGGACGGTCGGCGGTTGAAGAGGGCGAGGCGGGGCGGCACGGCGCGACGGTCAGCGGTAGAAGCTGGTGGGGGCGCGGGCGAGATTAGGGTTAGGGGAGGGAGCAAGGGTGAGAGCCCCTCTGGAAAGAGGATGGTGGAATTGCAAAGAGGAGGGAGGGAGGAATCTGTGGCGGAGGGGAGGAGACCGGCGGTGAGTCGGGGCGAGGGGAGTCGATCGCGAGGAGGGCGAGACCGCAAGAGTGCGGAGGAGGGGGGCGACGGAATTCAGGGAGCCGAAGATCCGGACCATTACACGAGGAATGAAAGAATAAGCGATGAGTGAAACCATTTGTTAAACTATAGGGTTAGAGAAGATAGTAGATTATAGGCAAATTTTGCTACAGGGCACTTTGACTTTGTGGTTTTAGCTGTGGGACATCGTCCGAACTCACTTTTGGAGAAAAACACTCCATAACGTGGTAATTTGGCAATGGACATTGCGCTGATTAGAATAATAATTTCCGGTTGGAGAGGAGAGAGAAATCGCATGAAATGGACAATGCGAAGGAGACCAGGCCACTTTGCACGCCGGACGTCCAAACGACACGTTTTTCGCCGACGGCGCTGGTCTTGATGATCGTCGCGGCAGGCATGGCGGCGTCGTCGTCGCGGCGATCGGGGCTTCTCGGCGAGCTGCCGCCGGGAGGAGGACTGTGTCCTTTTGCGCCTCGAGTGCTGGTGATGATGCTGATGCTTGTGCCTGATGCCTCTCCAATGGCTGTGGTGGCTGTCAGCCTTCCTCTCCGGCGGCGTCGATGTCGTCGCTGCGGCTCGTGGCGTCGCCGTCGAGTTCAGTGGTGGGGCCAGGGCGTCGATGGTGCCGTTTCTGTTGCTCTCTCGTTTGCTCGGGAGCGTCGATGATGCCGTGTTGGATGGAGTTCTTCTCGCCACCCCTTCTCCGCCACTGCGTATTGGTGTTACGGTTTCCTCCTGCTGTTCCTGTGATCGTGTGACCTCCTCGGCAGCACCGTCACCGACGTCGAGTTCGACGACAGCCACGACAGGAGTGCCGCCGCCGCCGCTGCCGACACTCCCGTCGGGGAAGGGAATGAGGCGTCCGCGGTGGGGCCGCTAGCGAAGGTCACCATGAGTGCGACGGAGAAGCATGCCAGCACGGCCTTGCTAATCATCATCACATGGCCGTCGCCGCCACTGCCGCCGTGCTTACTGCCGCCGCTTTGTAACCGTTGAGCAACAATGACGATGAGGACGGGGAGAGGAGGCCGTGGAGCTGCACGTGTAGCGACCCGCTACTCCCGCCTCTGCCAACTTGGTCCAGCACCGACAACCATGCCTTCCTTGCTATCTCACGATGGCGTTATCTTCTAGGAGAGAAGATAGAGAGAAGAGAAGAGAGATAGGAGAGCTGACGTGTGGGCTTAAGGGTATTTTTTATATTTCGCGTGATTTCTATCTCCTCTTTAATCGGAAATTGTTATTCTAATCGGCGCGGTGTCCATTGGCAAATTAATGTAAAATCAAAGGTGTTTTTTTATTATTCTGTGATAAACAATTGGCATTGAAGATTATTGGTTTTGTTATTTGGAATTTATTCACGAAGTGGTTTTGGAGATGATTGGATTTATAGGTAAATCGCAGATTCTGTTATTTCATGTGACCGGTCAGACCGGGCAGTGTGTGCCGGTTAGACCGGCGTGTATTGCGCGGTCAGACCGGCGCAGCCCGCGGTCTGACCGACTGACTCTGTGTCAGTTTCGGTTTCGGGTTGTTTGTTTGGATATCCGTGATTGTTTCATGATTATGGCTTCTAGATGGATACTATACGTATGTAATACTATTGTTTGCTACTAATGAGTCAAGTTGGAGATAGCTTGGTCTCGGAATATGGTTTCTTTGTTTATTTTATGTGTAGGTGACTCGATGCCTCGGGAGAGTATTTGCGGTGATGGATCGGGAGTCGGCTTGGGGATAAGACGACATCCGTGGTGGTTAGAGATCACGCGGGATACTTAGGCTAGAGTTGATGCACGTGGTTGATGGAGATTCCATATGGCATACGATGGAGGTATCGTGTGCGTATGGGATACGGAGTTGAATTTGGAAGGAGTCCAAATTTGATATGATTGGTTATGTAAAGTTTGTGTCTTGTACTAGAGGGTTTCCTAAGGTGTTTAGGACTTCTAATATGAGTTTGGTTCGTGGCTTTAGGCTGCCTACCTCGGGTATAAATAGAGGAGGAGCGTGATGCTTCCCTGTATCGCTTTAGAGAGCAATTGAGTTGAGTTTTGAGTTGGGGTTTCGAGTTTAGTCGAAATTTTTGTAAGGAGTGCTATTGGTGCACTTTGTAAACACAGAGAGAATCAATACAGTCGTCATCCACTTTAAGAGTTCTTTGATTTGTGTTTCATCGGGTTTCGGCGGTCAGACCGGCGGCGGGCAGCGATCAGACCGGCGGGAGCGAGGCGGTTAGACCGGCAACGACGACAGCAAGCGGCAGCTGATCTCGGCGGTCAGACCGGTTAATCTACATCGGTCAGACCGACGACATCTGAGTGGTCAGACCGGCATAGCAACTTCGGTCAGACCGATCTCCGTCGAATTCGAGGGTAACTTTTATTTCCGCTAAAAGTTTTCGGTTTTTGGGTATACCAACCATTCACCCCCTCTGGTTGGCTTAGTTATTGTGATTCGATGCTACAATTAACACGTTTATGGAGTGTTTTCCCCCAAAAGTGAGTTTGGGAGGTGTCCCACGACTAAAACCATGAAGTCAAAGTGTATGTAGCAAAATTTACCTAGATTGTACCATACATCAATCACATTTTTTTTTCCAGATGTACCTTTCACTACCCAATACTACACCATCTCATGTATGGTACAAATAAACCTCATTTATTGGATCTAATATAATTGGTGGTTCACATTCACCCGAGAGTACTTACAAAAATTCTAAAACGAAACCATCTTATAAACGTGCATCCTTGCGAGTTGCGATGGAAGTTGGTCATCACTAGTCTTTTTTTAGTCACGATTGAATAGCGAAGTCAACAGGTTTGGTCCAGTACATTTATCTTCATCACAATCATTAAGAAAATGGAAATGAGACAGATCAACAGTCAACGCTCCACCTTCTCCTCTCAACTCTCTTGCTGAGATCCTGAGACCCGACTTTTCACGCTGATATCGCCGCCGGCAGCGCCTGTTGCTGCTACTCATGGATGTGGTGGGGGCGGCGTCCTGGCTGGTTCAGGTCGTCCTGGAGAAGCTCGTCGGCGACGGCATCGACGCCGCCTGGGCCGCGGCGCGCGCCGGGGGGGACCCGGGCCGCGCCCACGGCGGCGACGTCCGCCGCCTCGGCTCCCGCCTCCAGAGCCTCCACGCCCTCCTCTCCGAGGCCCAAGAGCACGCGCCCATGGCACGCAGGCGCAGCGAGGCCCTCCTTCGCTCTCTCCGTAGCCTGGAGAGCCTCGCCACCGATGCTGACAACCTGCTCGACGAAATGCTGTACCACCAAATCCACCGACGGCTACATCCGGACGAGCCTAGTACCTCCTCCAACTCTTGCTCCTCATTGTTTGCAGTCCAACTAGTGGAGCCCAATAATCGCGTTGCCAAGAGGGTGCGCCATAGTGGAGATGGCGATACCACCGGTAGAATTAAAGACATCCTAGAGCGGATGTGTGAAGCCGGAGATGATGTTCGTGAGGCAATCAAGATGGAGAAACTGGACGTCAGTGCCGCTGGGGGAGGCCAAGATGATCGTATAATTCAACGGAGGCCAACAACATCTTACTCCACTGAGCCAAAGGTGTTTGGGAGGGACACCGTGAAGGATCGCATTGTGGTGATGTTGATTAGCTCAGAGACATGTGGTGCTGATTTGGCAGTCCTTCCAATTGTGGGGAATGGTGGCGTTGGTAAAACTACACTGGCACAGCTAGTCTACAGTGACACAAGAGTGCAAGCTCAATTCAGCAAGCGAATATGGATTTCAGTGTCTGTTGACTTCGATGAAGTTAGGCTTACTCGTGAGCTACTCGATTGTGTGTCCAATGGTGTCAATAAGCATGGTGGTATCACTAACCTGAATAAGCTCCAAGAGATTCTTGAGGAGGATCTTAAGTCCGAGCGGCTACTCCTTGTTTTGGATGACATGTGGGAAGACAATGATAAAAGCCGTTGGAACAAGCTATTAGCACCTCTGAGATGTAGTTCATTGAGGGGCAATGCAATCTTGGTTACAACAAGAAATCACTCTGTAGTAAAGATGATTGCTACAATGGATCCTATCCATTTGGATGGTTTGGAAGATGGTGACTTTTGGCTTCTGTTCAAGGCATGTGCATTTGGTGATGAAAAATATGAAGGGCATCCAAGTTTGCAGGTTATTGGGAAGTGCATAGCTAACAAGTTGAAGGGTTATCCCTTAGCTGCAAAAAGTGTTGGTGCCCTTTTGAATAGAGACCTTGATGGTGGGCATTGGATGAGCATATTGCAAAGTGACGAATGGAAACTGCAGAGAGGACCTGATGATATCATTCCAGCATTGATGCTTAGTTACATACACTTGCCTTTTCATCTACAAAGGTGTTTTTCTTACTGTGCATTGTTTCCTAAGGGTCACAGGTTTGATGGCTTAGATTTGGTCCGTGTTTGGATATCACAAGGTTTTGTTTCTTCGAACAATAAGAAAATGGAGGACATTGGCCATCAATATTTGAATGATTTAGTGGATTGTGGATTTTTTCAAAGAAGCACATACTATTCTATGCACGACCTGATTCATGACCTGGCACATATTGTTTCAGCAGATGAATGCCATATGATTGATGGTTTTAATTCAAGTGGAATAGCTCAGTCAACCATTCAACATTTATCTATTAATACAAGGTATGCTTATAAGTGGGATGTATATTCCCAGAAGTTTTATTCAAAAGATGACTTCCAGAGGAAGCTTACTTATGTTGGTGAAACAGTGCAAACCAGGAACTTGAGTACATTAATGCTATTTGGAAAGTATGACGCAGACTTTTCTGAAACTTTTTCCCATATTTTTAAAGAAGTGCAATATCTTCGTGTTCTGAGGCTACCCACGCTCACTTATAGCATAGACTATTTACTCTCTAACTTCAGCAAATTGATCCATCTTCGCTACCTTGAGCTAATATCCAGTGGTCCTGGTGGACCCTTGCCAGAGGTTATATGTCAGCTTTATCATCTACAGGTCCTTGATGTCGAGTACTGGGTACACCTCTCCACTTTACCAAGAGCCATGAATGATCTTGTCAACTTGAGGCATTTTGTTGCCCGTGGTGAATTGCACGCACTGATTGCTGGAGTTGGGAGATTAAAGTTTCTCCAGGAGTTAAAGGAATTCCGAGTTGGAAAGACTACTGACTTTCAGATTGGACAGTTGAATGGATTAAGGGAATTGGGAGGATCATTAGCAATTTACAATCTAGAGAACATATGTAGCAAAGAGGAGTCTAAGAATGCTGGATTAAGGGATAAAATATACCTAAAGGATTTGTTGCTATCATGGTGTAGCAACCGATTTGAGGTAAGTTCTGTTATCGAGGAAGAGGTGCTTGAGAGCCTTCAACCACACTCTGGGCTTAAGTGTCTAAGTATAAATGGCTATGGAGGTATTTCTTGCCCAACATGGTTGAGCTCCATTAATCCACTCATCAGCTTAGAGACTATCTGTCTAGATAGTTGCACAAAATGGGAGGTCCTTCCACCGCTTGGGCAATTTCCACTCCTTAGAACACTGCATTTGATTCAGTTGCCTTCTTCAAGGGTTGTACCAACTGTATCCAGTGACGACTGGACTGGTTCTGAAAAACATATTATATTTCCATGCCTAGAAGAACTTGTGATAAGGGATTGCCCTGAACTAAGGACATTAGGATTGTCACCATGCTCTTTTGAAACTGAAGGCTCTCACACATTTGGCCGTCTCCATCATGCTACTATCTATAACTGTCCTCAACTAATGAATTTACCACAATTTGGTCAGACAAAATATTTGTCCACAATATCTATTGAGGGAGTAGGATCATTTCCTTACATCCGATTGTTTGTGCGAGCATTGTATATCAAGGGATGCGCTAGCCCAAGTAAATTGGATCAAATATTAATGTTGATTGAGGGCAACCTATGTCTTCTTGAGAAATTAACGATTGAGAGTTGCCTCGATCTTACATATTTGCCATGGAAAACACTCAGCAAACTTGTCTCTTTGGAGATGCTGGTAATTGTGGACTGCCCAAGGCTTTCTTTGACTTTATATCCATATAACCAAGATGGGGGTAATTTTTCTTTCATGTCATTGCTCAACAAGCTTGTAATCCGAGCATGTAGCATTACAGGGAAGCAGTTATCTCACTTGATCTTACAGTTGCCCTTCCTTCATTACTTGACAATTGGAAAGTGCCCAAAGATAACATCCTTGTTGCTTGGTGATGTGATTAATGGGAGTGACAGCTCTTCAACATCTGATTACCTCCAATTGACAACTGATGGCATGTTGCAAATACCATCTCATCTCTTAATTCAACTTCAGTATTTGAGCATAGATGACTTTCCAGATCTGGTTCTACTCTGGAAAGAAGGCTTCCATGGATTCACCTCACTTCGGACCCTACACATCACAGGATGCACACAACTTCTCTCCCCCATGATAACAGAAAACAAAAGATCCAACAAAAACTCTTCCCTCCTGCCACCATTACTACATGACCTTATGGTTACTCATGTGCATAATGAGTTGCTACCTTTCTTGCTCTCGAACCTCACCTCGTTATCCATATTTGCAATATCTAACAGTCCAGAGTTAACATCCCTTGTTCTTCATTCTTGCACATCTTTAGAAACTTTGATCATTGAGAAATGTGTTGGGCTGTCTGCTCTAGAGGGTTTGCATTCCCTCCCCAAACTTAAGCATCTACGGATTTTTCAATGCCCTAGTTTGGCTAAAACATGGGGCCCTTCCTCAGTGGACAGGCCAGGTTTCTCTTTATATCTAGACAAGCTTGAAATTGATACCACTGTGTTATTTAACACAGAAGTTTGCAAGAAGCTTCCATCTCTTCGACATTTAGTGTTTTTCATGGTAACTATTAACACAATTAGTCAATAATTTCGTTGGAACAGATAAACTTGCTCAATATACAGTGGTTTCTCATCACTTCATTTTTTGCAGGCAAAGAATGTGAGATCCTTCACAGAAGAAGAAGAAAAAGCACTTTGTCACCTCACATCTCTCCATGTACTTGATTTTTGTTATTGCCCTAATCTCCTATCACTGCCTAAAATGTTGCATTGCCTTTCTTCCCTGAAGCAGTTGTCAATCAAGGCTTGTCCAGGAATTAAATCATTGCCAGAAAATGGCCTCCCAGCTTCCTTACACGAGCTCTACGTGAGCAGTTGCAGTGCAGAACTAAAGGAGCAGTGCAAGAAGACAAAAAATGTTAGATGTGTTTATGTTGATAGAAATGCAAGCAAATTCATAGTTATATGCAAGCTGCTACGTCTCTATTTTAGGTATTATTTTACAGTTTTAAAAAGATTAGCAATTTTATTTTGTGTTTTAGACACTCGTGGAATGGGTGCTCTCTGTATAATTGTTTTAACTGTATCAATTGATTAGTATTTATTTTTGTTGAATAACTGGTATTGCTAACCTCAGTTTATTTTTTGCCAACCTGGTTCATTTGTAGGAAACGGAAGAGATGAGAAAAATGAGAACTACTAGTTATGAATGAACCTTCAGTTTCTCAATTTATAAAAGGCATGCCTATGCTTCGCTTAATTGATTATTTTTTGTCACAAGAGGAGGATAGAAGATATTACTGATGAAGGTTCACATGCAGATGAATTCAATAAACCTTGTGTGCACTCAACCATTCTGTTTAATATAGTAGTCTCCTCAGATATCTGTAACTGGATGGAGCTTGAAATGAAGATGCCATGACTTCAGCAGATTAGTTAGGCTGCTTCATCACCAGCTGGATCAATAACTACTGTCTACATGAAGTCAAGACAACACAAGGTGTGGCTACACTTCTTTGCAGAAGATTTGTTTCAATTGCGTTTGCCATTATTTTGTATTAAATCATCTTTTCATAACAACAAATAAATATTTATTTGCGATACCTGAAGTGTCCTTGTTCTGACTGTGGAAAGAACATAGGTGCAACTGCAAGTTTGCAAACTACTATATTATATAGAATAATTGATCTTTCTCTTGGAAACAACCACTGTTTAGTATATGTTCATTCAGTAGTCAGCACATCAGTAAAATAAAACAAAAAACTATTTAGCTGCTATTTATTCTTGTAAATGAGGGAATTACGATATTAACTATATAGTTATTCTGATTTGATTTTGTTTAAGGTTTTAGCAAGCCGATGGGGGATTTATTTTTGTGTGTTTTGGAGGATCACCAAGCTGGGAGCATGGCAGCGATCACTATGGCTGCAATCAAGAACTGGGGGAAGCAATGAGCTCATGGTCCTAACCAAGTAAGCAGCTGGCAGCTGCACTGTTTTACTGTGGTAGTATTGCTCTATTCTGGTTCTGCATTACCGATCTTCATGGCTGTGAATAGCTAGGAATTTTTTAACAGACAAATCGATCACCATTGCCCTTCTCTTTTCCCCTTGAGCATTTTGGTTAGGTGATAATGGGGAAGTCTGCACTCCGAGAGTGGGACTGGGAGCCCATGCCCTTTCTGCAGAACTTATTTGTCTCTGCACATAATAATATATCGTTTAATTTCTTCAGAGTCCTATTTACTATCGCCACTACAGTTGTTTTCAGAACTGGACTAGTCATCTCTGAACTCTGATAGCATGCATAGGAATGCTGGACAGTGCTATATATCTCCTTTGATTCTTGAATTAGTGATCTTTTTTTCCTTCAAATTGACTGATGAGTTACTTATTTCAATCCTGTTCGACATCCTACCTTTCCACTTTCCATGTCCCATTCGAATCCTTTATTCTGTTGTTTATTTCTGCAGACCTACTTGTGTGCTGACATAACTACTTTATTGTGCCTCCATTTCTTAAATATCTTCAAGTCCGTACATACACGACATTTTCTCATAAATAATATATTAGATGGAAGGGCCAAAATGTTTAGCAGCACATACTTGTTCTAATAATCATGGCCATCTTAGTAGACGCTTATTTTTTTGCATTCGGCTTGTACTAGTCTAATACTTATACTTGCATACATTTACGATAGATATTGCAATCAGTTGAACTATGCTGCTCCAAGACAGGGCCGGCCGTGATAGTGTGCTTTTGCAATATGGCGGGCTGGCCTGGGGCAGCGTTACAGTGCGATCGTCCTGGCTATACACAGCTATACATGCATATATAGTTTGGTTGCTTTGCGCTGGAGTATTAGTTAATCTCACCTTTAAAACCAGGCCATTAATTTATCCTTATCATCACTAGTACAGAACCTTCTATGTGTAACGGCCTCTAATATGCCTTCAGCCGTCTTGTCGATGGCAGTTGGTTCTCTTTAAACGTCCTGAGAAACCTACCCCAAAAAATAAGATTACAATGCCTTGGGCTCCCGTTTGGGCCAACTGGGGGTGCCAACATGCTCACCATGTGGTGAGTGGTGGGCCTGGCGAGACCCAACCTGTCCGAAACGGTGCCACGGATCCATTCTTGCCCATTTGGCTGTGTCAGGTGTCGCTGGGCATGCACGACCATGTCCAGGGCTAATGACTTAGCTCTAGTGTCTTATCTACTACGCCTTTTCGACTTCAGATTGGTGGGGGTTCCTTCCATAAACCCATTTCACTTATGGCAGAGAGCATTGCTTCACAGCTGGGTGTTGTCACAGCCTGAATTTCCGTTTCAGGATTTATAAATTATTTAATAAACTAGAAAGGTAGCCCGCGTACATACGCGGCAACTGGGCACCTCCAAACATAATATGAGTGAAATTTTATTATAAATATTTATGTGCAGGTGGATTTTTATCAAAATATTTTTATTTTATTCTAAACTAAAATTAAACTTATTTTATGTGCTTTGAACCCTGCTTATTTCTTTTACAATTAACCTTGCAACATATAAATTATAAAATAAAATTACTTGAGATCGTGCGATTTTGAATTGATGAGAAAATATTGTGTCGAAATAGTGGAGCGATTCTTAAGAGAAAATTTAGGATATTTTAACTCCCTAGAAATATATCTTACAACCCAAAAGAAATCCAATAATATCAATTTTTTGATTTATTGTATTTTAGTTTTTATATTTTCTTTTCATTGCAACAGTCCTTGTAAAATGTTTGACTTTTTCTATTTGCAATGGGTTTTAGATCTAGCAACATTTGTTCAAATTTCAATTTATGTCATGTCCATTTTTATTTTTTTGGGAGATTTTCATTCTATAAACCATCCTTGAACTTGAAATGATATGATCTTTGCAAATCGAGACAAAAATATAAATGCATATAACATGGCATAGCGTAAAGGCATACGCTCTAAATTTCTCTCATCAAATATTAAAGTAATGGTCATGGAGTTTTTAGCAAATCATCACTGAAGTGGAGTATCTTATAACAAATACATGTTTATAGATTGTTCTACACTTTATAATTTACTGTAGCATGTTTTACCAAAAATAGAAAAATGGACATGGTATTTAATTATTATATGAAATTGACTTGATTTATTGCTAAGGCCACCACCAGGTTGTTTAAATATTAAGATTTTTTGGTGCAAACCACACGCTTATCAGTATGATATTCAACTGGACACATCTTTATTTTCAACCTATTATCTATATTGCTAGATGAATACTTATTATGATTATGATTAGTGACTTGATAGATCATATGTGTAATTCGGATGCTATGATCATCATTCTTTTGAATATTTATTTATCTCCTAATAAGATCATTTTAAAAGTACCAAGGTCAATTTGTATAGATACATAGCCCTCGTATGCATGTTATGAGAAATTAATTAAGCTGGTAGAAAGTCGTTAGATGCCTAACGGGATATGAGTAAGATGGAGGTACATTTGTGTTTTTTTCCATATAGAGAATTTTAATTTCAATTGCCAAGGAGATAAAAAACAGAGAGAAAAGAATGGCGCACACTGTACACGGGCAGAGAGGAAGGGGGGTTTGGATTTTTTTTTCTAAATGATTAATCTAACAACCTAAAATAATGTGTCTGATGTTTAAGTCAAAGCCGATGGTCAAATGTTTTGTTTTCTTGTTAGAATTTTTAGGATTTTTTTTACTTAAGAAAATGATGTAATATCTTATGAGCGTTCTCTGATTTAAGAGAATGACGAAATATGTTAAGAGCGTTTATAAGATGTGTAACGGACTTTTTCACACCGCATGCCGCAAAGAAGAATGATGGAGGGAAGGAGGTTGGATTTTTTTCCCCAAAATTTCTAAGATTTTTCTATAATTTAGGAATGTCATATAGCAGCTTGAGAAGCGTTTATAAGATGTTTAATAGATTTTAACGCCACGCTGGGATGGGGAGGAAGGGCAAGAAGTTTAGGTTTTTTCTTATTACAAAAACCTAACAAATCAATAGCCGGATGCTTTGTTCTTTTTAAAGATTTTCTAGTATTTTCTCTAATTTAATAGTACCACGTAGCAGCTTAGAAGCGTTCATTGGATGTTTAGCATGCCAGAGCGAGAACTGATAGACCTAGCAGGTGGAGGTCTATTTATGGTTTTTTTAATGTAGAAATAATTTTGATTTTAATTTCATATGAAGATAGCTCGTTCGTACCTACGTGACGGGGGAGGTTCTGGATGTGTCTTTTTTCTGAAAAAAATAATCTAACCTTCTAAAATAAAATAATGGATCCACTGATTTAAATGAAAATCGATGATCGGATAAGAGTACCACTTGGCGACCTAAAAACATTTTGTAAGTTGTCACTTGGCGGCTTAGGAGCATTTATGGGATGTTTAATGGACTTTTAAGTATATAATAGTATTTTTTCTATAATTTCTAAGATTTTCTTTAATTTAAGAATTAATGTCATATAGCAGTTTAGAGGCGTTTATAAAATATTTAATGAACACCGCACGGGTTGGGAAGGGAGGGAGAGAGGTTTGGGATATTTTATTAAAAAAAATCTAACAACTAAATGTATCCATCAACTTAAGTAGAAATCGATGGTTGGTTGCTTTGTATTTTTAAGATTTTCTAGTACTTTATATAATTTAATTGTGCCATCTAACGACTTAGAAGCGCTCGTAGGATGTTTAAAGTGATGGAGGAAGAGCTGCTAGACCTAATAGTTGGTCTATTTGTGATTTTCTGAAAGAAAAAAAATTGATTTTAATCTCATGAAATAGAAAATAACAGATGAAGGAATAGAAGGGAAGTACCACAGTAGAAGGAAAGTACCACAGTACGTACGTTCGTATAGTACATACGCTAGGAAGTTCGTATGATGCCAAAACTATGATTTTGTTTGTTTGTACATTGGTTTTGGATGTGACTTTTCTTTTCTAAAAAAAAAGATCTAACCATCTAAAATAATGGGTCCACCAACTTTAAAACTAGATGGTTGGATTTCTCTTATTTATTAGAGTGCCACTCGGCGATTGAAGAACATTTATAGGGTGCCACTTGGCGGTTTGAGAGTGTTTATAGAAAGTTTAATGGAATTTTAGTATATAATAGTAGATAGATTATTATATAATTTATATTAAAGGTTCATTAATTTACAAGTGAAGTTAAATGTGGAAAATAAAATTTCCTAAGCATAAAGCATGGTTGGATTTAATTGATATTTGTCGACGGGGGATACCCGTAGACCGGATATAGAGGGTATTGGGATACGCTGGTACGAGGATCTACGTAGTACGACATCAAGCAAACAGGAAACAAGGATTATACTGGTTCAGACCCCTTGATAGGTAATAGCCCTAATCCATTTGATATGGGATTATATAGTGGAAACCACAGACTACAAAGAGAATAGCAGAACTTGATGATACCGACGAGACCGTAGTTGAGTTGGCTCGACTAGATCACCCTGGCGACTTGGTTCCTAAAGACTCCGACTTCGTAGGCTATGGTGGTTGTGTTGGCGGTAAGATTCGATCCCTTAGGTCCTCTCGGGGGTCCCTTTTATACCGCAGGTCAGTTGGTCTCCAAGTAGGATTCGGAGACATCGGACCCTACATGATACAGTGACGACCCAGTTCTGTCCAAGTAGGACTCCTTCCATCTGTGGACTCCGTGATGGATTTCCTTAGCGTGTACAGAGAACGTCCGTATACGCACAGGTATGCCATATCAGTGTATGACGTATATCCAAGAGTAGAGGGTATACCTTATCCGTAACCCTGACAGTAGCCCCCGACTTCTGCTTAAATGAACTCATGTAACTGATTGCGACTTCAGATGTCGGAGTCGTTGTCATTCTCGACTGGTCGATCTCGGTGTGAGAACACCATGTGAAGTTCAACGGTCATAAGTGAATTTAAATTGAAGTCCAAAAACTGCTGCGCGTAACGGACCCAGAAATTTCCGGCGGCCATCTCTCTCCTTTTCTTGGAATTCGCACCGTCAATAGTGCGCCTATTTAAGGGAGTTTTGTGGATCCATTTTGAAGTCCGCCTGGTGCGAAAAACTTTCCAGCCTCCAAGCTTTCCTCGTCTTCTCCGCTCCCGCAAAAAGAAAACCCTAGCTTGGTCATCTTGGTCCCTTCTCCGGCGATCTCCGGCGGCAACGGATCTCGACAAGTCCACTTCCACCAGTTCGTCCCTGAAGAAGCTGCAGGAAGACGGCGCTCTCCTTGGTCGTGGGACTATGGAGAGAGAACCAGGAGGTACTGAACCCAAACCCGTCCTAGGCCGCATGGTTGCGGTTGAGGACTATATTCTTTATGGTTTTCTTCCTCCACCTTCCGAGTTTCTTCTCCTCGTCTTGAATTTCTACGGTCTTTCTTTGCTCCACCTGA